AGCCATGTTACTCATTTTTGCCCTTCATTAAATAGGGGGCAGAGAAATCAAAAGATAAAGTATAACTCTTAACTAGATCACTTCTGTTCAGCACTACAAGATAATAAGTAAGCCTTAGTCTCAGTTTCCTTCTTTTATCATTACTTTTTAAAACCTTTGGCCCAGCTGTGGTGTCTCATGCCTATAATCTCAGCACTTGAAGAGGCTGAGGAGAGAGGACTACTTGAGCCCACGTGTTTGAGACCAGCCTAGGCAACACAGTGAGTCATCATTTCTATATATGATGAGGAGAAAAAAACCTTTATTACGTATCTGCTGACACATTAACACAAGTAGAGAACACCATTCCTATTTAACCATTACCCAGGTCCAACAATTATCAACACACAGTCAGTCACTTTCATCTATAAGCCAGCTGACTTCTTGCCCACGTCCCATTTTGACAGTTGCTCCTTTGATCTCTCAGCATGTGCTTCACAGCGATTTGGTTAGGAGACAGCTTTTTTTTTTTTTTTGACATTCTAAGATAACCTAAGTTCCATAAAGAATTTTGCAAAGTGCGAGTGGTTACAAAATTCACCAAGTTTGCAGGGTGCTGTTTGCAACCTTCGCCCCCTGGGTTCAAGAAATTCTCCTACTTCATCCTCCTGAAGTAGCTGGGATTACAGGCACCTGCCACCATGCCTAGCTAATTTTTTATAATTTTAGTAGAGATGGGGTTTCACCATATTTGCCAGGCTAGTCTTTTTTTTTTTTTTTTTTTTGAGACGGAGTTTCGCTCTTGTTACCCAGGCTGGAGTGCAATGGCGCGATCTCGGCTCACCACAACCTCCGCCTCCTGGGCTCAGGCAATTCTCCTGCCTCAGCCTCCTAAGTAGCTGGGATTACAGGCACGTGCCACCACGCCCAGCTAGTTTTCTGTATTTTTAGTAGAGACGGGGTTTCACCATGTTGACCAGGATGGTCTCGATCTCTCGACCTCGTGATCCACCCACCTCAGCCTCCCAAAGTGCTGGGATTACAGGCTTGAGCCACCGCGCCCGGCTTGCCAGGCTAGTCTTAAACTCCTGACCTCAAGTGATCCACCAGCGGGATTACAGGCCCAAAGTTCTGAGATACCATACCCGGCCAAATTTTGTATCTTTTAGTAGAGACGGGGTTTCACCATGTTGGTCAGGCTGGTCACGAACTCCTGACCTTAAGTGATCTGCCCGCCCTGGGTCTCCCAAAGTGCTGGTATTACAGGTGTGAGCCACCAGGCCTGCCCTAAAGACCAAATTTGAGTGAGAAATATGGTATATTTTGAAACATTCAACAAGTGTGGTAGATTCTAAGCTACCTCTTCAGTTGAGCCCCTCCTTTCAATAGTCTCTGCTTTAGGTCATATTCTCATAACTTTTCACCTGACTTGTATGGCCCTCTCAAACAATGCAAGACATACCTTCCTAAAATACTCCTAGATCATGTAATTGCCTTGTTTAAACAGTCTGGAATGAGGGGCCAGGCCCGGTGGCTCACGACCATAATCCCAGCACTTTGGGAGGCCGAGGCGGGTGGATCACACGGTCAAGAGATCAAGACCTGGCTAACGTGAAACCCCGTCTTTACTAAAAACAGAAAAATTAGCTGGACATGGTGGTGCGCGCCTGTAGTCCCAGCTACTCGGGAGGCTGAAGCAGGAGAATTGCTTGAACCCAGGAGATGGAGGTTGCAGTGAGCCGAGATTGTGCTACTGCACTCCAGCTTGGAATAGGAGCGAGACTCCATCTCAAACAGACAAACAAAAAGTACGGAATGACTCATAAAACTGAGAACCAAGCTCAAACACCTTAGTTTAGTTCCACATCTTTACTACTTGGCTTCCGGCTCCAATGTCATCTCTTCCCAAACCCCACGCCTAGCATTCGTTCCAGTCACGTTTCCCCCGTCCTTCTGCTGTTCTCGTACCCTCGCTCCATCTGTCCATCTCCTGATAACTCTGCTGTGTCTCTAACACCCAACCCTGCTGATTTCCACTGGGACGCTTTCTCTGATGCCGCAGCTCCTCCAGCTTGGTGTGCCCCTCACAGTGTTGGCTGCTTAGGGAGAGCACCCCCATTCCATTCCTTGAGGACCGTGACAACATACACTTGTTATTGCCTTTGTTTCCCAAGAACAAAGCATAACACCTGGCAAAAAGACAATCATGTCTGAATAAATGTCCCATTCTTGCTATGCTGCCATCATAAACTTTTCTTGGAAGAGTAATTTATTTATTTATTATTTTTTTTTTTTTTTGAGACAGAGTTTCACTCTTGTTACCCAGGCTGGAGTGCAATGGCACGATCTCGGCTCACCGTAACCTCCGCCTCCTGGGTTCAGGCAATTCTCCTGCCTCAGCCTCCTGAGTAGCTGGGATTACAGGCACGCGCCACCATGCCCAGCTAATTTTTTGTATTTTTAGTAGAGACGGGGTTTCACCATGTTGACCACGTTGGTCTCGATCTCTTGACCTCGTGATCCACCCGCCTCGGCCTCCCAAAGTGCTGGGATTACAGGCTTGAGCCACCGCGCCCGGCGGAAGAGTAATTTATTAATGCACTCACTGATTTGCTTTGAAATCTACGGCTTGCAGACCTTTTAAAGTTGAGTAGAAACAGATGGCATAAATCATGTATCAGGGTCACTCTGACTACCTAACATCTTTCTATTTCAAGGAACAGCACCCTGATTTCCCTTGGGGATATCTGCTTTCCCAACTGCTCAGACAATGTCGATCTAGTGGACTGACACCACTCCACTTTGGGGAGTGCTCTTCACCCAGGCCTAGCTAATCAAATTCCCGGAGATTAGGGTCAGAACTCCAGTTGAAATCACAGGACCAGGCACTCTTGTCCACAGGAGTAATGAGTGGTGGCATAGTGGTTTTAAAATGTTCACGCTGTGTGTGTGTGTGTGGTGGGGTGCGGACATGGTGGCTCATGCTTGAAATTCCAGCACTTTGGAAGGCTAAGGCATGCAGATCATGTGAGGTTAGGAGTTCCAGACTAGCCTGGCCAACACAGTGAAATCTGTCTCTAACAACAACAAAAAAAAAATACAAAAATTAGCTAGGCATGATGGTGGGTGCCTGTAATCCCAGCTACATAGGAGGCTGAGGCAGGAGAATTGCTTGAACCCAAGAGGCAGAGGTTGCAGTGAGATGAGACAGTACCACTGCACTCCAGCCTGGGCAAGAGCTAGACTCCACCTCAACCAAAAAGTAGGCGGGGCGCGCTGGCTCACGCCCGTAATCCCAGCACTTTGAGAGGCCAAGGCGGGCGGATCATGAGGTCAAGAGATCTAGACCATCCTGGTCAATATGGTGAAACCCCATCTCTACTAATAAAATAGAAAAATTAGCCGGGTATGGTGGCACGAGCCTGTGGTCCCAGCTACTCAGGAGCCTGAGGCGGAAGAATGGCTTGAACCCATGAGGTGGAGGTTGCAGTGAGCGGAGATTGTGCCACTGCACTCCAACCTGGCGACAGAGCAAGACTCCGTCTCAAAAAAAAAAAAAAAGCGATTATTCTGCCTCAGCCTCCCGAATAGCTGGGATTACAGGTGCCTGTCACCATACCTGGCTAATTTTTGTATTTTTCTAAAGATAGGGTTTTAGAAAAACCATGTTTTTCACCATGTTGGCCAGGCTGGTCTGGAACTCCTGATCTCAGGTGATGCGCCTGACTCAGCCTCCCAAAGTGCTAGGATTACAGCTGTGAGCTACCTCACCTGGCCTGATGATCTCATTCAAGCCCTTGACCCTAGCTTATTTCTGGTTCCTTTGACTTTCCATAGCAAAAGTCAGTGGAATACTTCCATAACTGAACTAATCGTAAAGCATCCCAAGCAGTGCAGCCAGGACTCTAAATGCCAAAATGCCCAAATACAGGTCCACTTGAAGCCAGGGTCATGCTCACTGCTTCCTCCTCCCCTGCTCTGCACTTCCTCTTTAGCATGCTCCGTTTTTTACTTATCTAATTTACTATCCATACCCTCCAGTAGAACAGACGCTCCTTGAAGACAGGAAGTTCTTTTGTTGTGTACTACATCCTCAGCACCTAGAACCATCCCTGGATCCCAGCAGACACTCCCGGAGTATTTATTAAGTTATTCTAACTGCTCTAATTGATTGCAGACTGAAATTGCAATGAAGTAGTGTGATCTGAGGCTGACGCTGGAAAGACAGCCGCAGCCAGTACATGGAAGCGAGCAGGTCACGGCCTCCTCAGCTGGAATCACCAGGTTTAGAACCCACGAGAAAACCAAACTGCCTACCCTAACCTGTCGGTCTGGTCAAGGGCAAACGCTCTCCTTGACAGCTCTCGGTCAACCAAGGTAAGGGAGAGCCAGGAACGCTTTCACAGTGTTTTCCTCCCTTCCAGACTTGTGTTCTGTTCGCTCAGAACAGCACAGGCCATGCCTGAGTTGCTCCCCGCAGACGAGCCACCTCGCCTGCGCTCGGAGCGCTTTCCCAGGGTCCGGACGCATGAGCTTGCAGACCGCGTTCTGCGAGAGGACACGCCTCTCTGCTCCCCAGAGGCTTCTCACCCACATTCTTCCACCATAAAAAACCACTCTCGGGCAACCCGGGCGGCACCAAGAGCAGAAGTGGCCACGGCAGGCTCACCTACGCGGGGCCGGGGCGCGGAGCTCCCTATCGGGACGTAAAGACACACTGTGAGGAACACTGGAGCTTGATGTGCACGCCACAGAGGCCCAGGCTGCGGCAATGGGGGAAACGCGGGAGAAGCAGCGTGCAGAGGCGCCCCCGCCGCAGCCTCCCGGCCTGCACCTGACTCCGGAAGGTGGAGGGGCGGGGCGGCAGGACGGGCGGGGTCCTTCAAGGGCTGAGGGTTGAGGGACTGGACGACCCGGGGGCCGGGGTCCCCGAGGCAGGGGGCCCACGTCCCAGAGCGAAAGGGAGGCCGTGAGGCGTCCCAACGGGGTGCAAGCGCGAGGATGAGGCGGCGCTCACTCACCTGCCTCCGAGCCCTTTCACCCGCCCGCGCCGCAGGTACCGCCCCCTAACGTCACTTCCGCTCAGCCGGGCCACCTGGGCCGGAAGTGCGCCCCGCAGCCCTGCTTGGGTTGCTGAGCAACGCGGTCGTGGGCGCGGCCAGCACGGGGAACTTGGCTGCGCCTGTTTGTGGCTGTCGCATCGGATGTTGAACGTCCTCACCCCGCTCGGTACCCGTACCTTCTCCGTGTTCGCTCCCCTTCGTCCTCTTTTCCTCCCTGCGTCCCCGCTCCGTCCTCCCACCCCTCCCCGTCTTCTCCCCACCCAGTCCTCTTCTCGCCTCCTTTCTCGACCTCGCCCCAGCCTCCGGGTGCTCCTTCCAGCGTTTCTCCTCTTTGACCACAAGAATTGCTGGCAGTGGGGATGCGAACTTTCGGTCTTGAAATATTGTGCCAAATTGGGAGTCTCGCGTGGTTGTGCTGACTGATACCCCACGCTGATCAGTATTGGGCATGACGATTCGAATCCCCAACAGGGGCCAGGTGCGGTGGCTCATGCCTGTAATCCCAGCATTTTGGGAGGCCGAGGCGGTCGGATCCTGAGGTCAGGATACCACACCAATCGGCCGTCTCTACTAAAAATACGGAAAAATTAGCTGGGCGTGGTGGCGCACACCTGTAATTCTAGCTACTCGCGAGGCGGAGGCAGAATTGCTGGAACCTAGGAGGCGGAGATTGCAGTAAGCCGAGATCGCACCACTGTACTACAGCCTGAGTGACAGTGTGAGGCTGTCTCCAAAAAAAAAAAAAAAAAAAAAGGGCCGGGCGCGGTGGCTCACGCCTGTAATCCCAGCACTTTGGGAGGCCAAGGCGGGTGGATCACGAGGTCAAGAAATGGAGACCATCCTGGTCAACATAGTGAAACCCCGTCTCTACTAAAAATACAAAAAATTAGCTGGGCATGGTGGCGCGTGCCTGTAATCCCAGCTACTCAGGAGGCTGAGGCAGGAGAATTGCCTCAACCCAGGAGGCGGAGGTTGCAGTGAGCCGAGATCGCGCCATTGCACTCCAGCCTGGGTAACAAGAGTGAAACTCCGTCTCAAAAAAAAAAAAAAAAAAAAGAATCCCCACCCAGATCAGGATATCTAAAACTCGGGCTTAAGCAAGCGTCTTGCCTCCACTCCCAAGTACCTGGAACTACAAGTGGGCTCCACCACGCGCAGCTGAATTTTTCCTGTTTTTTTTTTTTTTTTGGAGACAGGGTCTCACTGTGTTGCCCAGGTTGGCCTCAAACTCCTGGGCTCAAGTGATCTGCCTGCCTAGGCCTCCCAAAGTGCTGGAATTACAGGCAAGAGCCATCATGCACGGCCATCTTCCTTATTTTTGGGTGAGAGTATGTATTTAAGTTATCCAATTTATCTTCGGTGTGTGGAGGAAAGATAATTTGTTTTGTTAATTGACAGGTCTCTGCATCAACTAGAGTTGCACCTGGAAAAGTTTACCCAAGCGAAGGCCCAGTGGAAAGAAAAAGCTGGGGCTGACGTGTCAACAGCTTAAACTGTTAATGTACTTCCTATTCCATACACAAATCATTCTGCAAAGGTGTAAACCTTAGTGTTTTAAGGTGTTTGAGCCCAAAATCTAAATAATCATTGGTTGACCAGCAGACTAGGCTGACCCAGGAATGACACTTTGGAAGCCAGACCCCAAAGTAAACATTTTAAAACCCCAGAAAGCCTAACAAATGAGCAGAGACATCAGCAAACACATTGGGAGAGATAAACTCTAAAAAAAATTACTCTGTGACCAGGCATAGTGACTCTCGTCTGTAATCCCAACACTTTGGGAGGCCGAGGCAGGTGAATCACTTGAAGTCAGGAGTTAGAGGTCAGCCTGGCCAACATGGCAAAACCTCTTCTCAACTGAAAAGACAAAAATTGCCGGGCGCGGTGGCTCAAGCCTGTAATCCCAGCACTTTGGGAGGCCGAGGCGGGTGGATCACGAGGTCGAGAGATCGAGACCATCCTGGTCAACATGGTGAAACCCCGTCTCTACTAAAAATACAAAAAATTAGCTGGGCATGATGGCACGTGCCTGTAATCCCAGCTACTCAGGAGGCTGAGGCAGGAGAATTGCCTGAGCCCAGGAGGCGGAGGTTGCGGTGAGCTGACATCGCGCCATTGCACTCCAGCCTGGGTAACAAGAGCGAAACTCCGTCTCAAAAAAAAAAAAAAAAAAAAAAGACAAAAATTAGCTGGGCATGGTGATGTACACCTGTAATCCCAGCTACTCAGGAAGTGTAGGCAGGAGAATCACTTGAACCTGGGAGGCAGAGGTTGTAGTGAGCCTAGGCAACAGAGCAAAACTTTGTCTCAAAGGAAAAAAAAAAAAAAAAAATTAGGCCAGACATGGTGGCTCATACCTGTAATCCCAGCACTTTGGGAGACCAAGGCAGGAAGATTGCTTGACCTTAGAAATTTGAGACCACCCTGGGCAACATAGTGAGATTCCCATCTCTATTTATTAAAAATAATAATAATTTTGGCTGGGCGCAGTAGCTCATGCCTGTAATCCCAACACTTTGGAAGGCCGAGGCAGGCAGATCATGAGGTCAGGAGTTTGAGACCACACTGGCCAGCATGGTAAAACCACTTCTCTACTAAAAATACAAAAAGTAGCCGGGCATGGTGCTGCATGCCTGTAATCCCAGCTGCTGAGACCAGAGAACTGCTTGAATCCGGAGCCGAGATCATGCCACTGCACTCCAGCCTGGGCAACAGAGCAAGACTCTGTTTCAGAAAAAAAAAAAAAAAAAAAAAAAAAAAAAAAAATGCCAGGTGCAGTGGCTCAATTCTGTAATCCCAGCACTTGGGGAAGCCAAGGTGGGTGGATCACCTGAGGTTGGGAGTTCAAGACAAACCTGCCCAACATGAAAAAACCTCATCTCTAGTACAAACACAAAATTAGGCTGGGGGCGGTGGCTCATGCTTATAATCCCTGCACTTTGAGAGGCTGAGGTGGGCAGATCACAAGGTCAAGAGAAGGAAACCATCCTGGTCAACATGGTGAAACCCTGTCTCTACTAAAAATACAGAAATTAGCTGGGCATGGTGGTAGGCACCTGTAGTCCCAGCTACTCGGGAGGCTGAGGCAGGAGAATTGCCTGAACCCCAGGCAGCAGAGGTTGCAGTGAGCCAAGATTGCGCCACTGCACTCCAGCCTGGACAATAGAATGAGGTTCCCTCAAAAAAAAAAAGAAAAAGATGGGGTTTTCCTCTGTCGTGCAGGCTCAAGTGCAGTGGCAGGATCTCAGCTTACTGCAACCTCTGCCTCCCAGCCACAAATGATCCTCTCACTTCAGTCTCCAAAGTAGCTAGGACTGCAGGTGTAAACCACCATGCTCAACTAGTTTTTTTACTTTTTTGTAGAGATGGGGTTTTGCTATGTTACCCAGGCTGGTCTTAAACTCCTGGGCTCAAGTGATCTCCTGCTTTGGCCTCCCAAAATGCTGGGATTCCAAGCATGAACCACTGTGCCTGGCAGTTGTCTGATTTCTAATAACCGTGGCAGTTTAGTAAGTATGTAATTCAGATGGTTTAACTCTGTTGTTCAAATGGCCGTTTGGAAGCAAAGTCATGCCTCAGAACATTATTTGAAACTTGTTGCCCAGGCACAGTGGCTCATGCTTGTAATCCCAGCTCTTTAGGAGGCTGAGGCAGAAGAATCGCTGGAACCTGGGAGCTGGGGGTTGCAGACAGTGGAGATCATGCTATTGCACTCCAGCATGGGCTACAAGGGCAAACCTCCATCTCAAAAAAAAAAAAAAGTCAGCCGGGCACGGTGGCTCAAGCCTGTAATCCCAGCACTTTGGGAGGCCGAGGCGGGTGGATCACGAGGTCAAGAGATCGAGACCATCCTGGTCAACATGGTGAAACCCCGTCTCTACTAAAAAATACAAAAAAAATTAGCTGGGCATGGTGGCACGTGCCTGTAATCCCAGCTACTCGGGAGGCTGAGGCAGGAGAATTGCCTGAACCCAGGCGGCGGAGGTTGCGGTGAGCCGAGATCGCGCCATTGCACTCCAGCCTGGGTAACAAGAGCGAAAACTCCGTCTCAAAAAAAAAAAAAAAAAAAAAAGTCAAAAAGAAAAAAACTTGTGTTACAGGCCAGGTGCGGTGGCTCAAGCCTGTAATCCCAGCATTTCGGGAGGCTGAAGGGGTTGGATCACTTAAGCCAGGCATCCCCAAACTACGGCCTGCGGGCCACATGCGGCCCCCTGAGGCCATTTATTCAGCCCCCCCGCCGCACTTCACGAAGGGGCACCTCTTTCATTGGTCGTCAGTGAGAGGAGCACAGTATGTGGCGACCTTCCAACGGTCTGAGGGACAGTGAACTGGCCTCCTGTGTAAAAAGTCTGGGGACCCCTGAATTAAGCCTATCAGTTTGAGAGCAGCCTGGCCAACAAAAATTAGCCAGGCATGGTGGCAGGCACCCATAGTCCCAACTACTTGGGAGGTTGAGGTGGGAGAATCAATTGAACCTGGGAGGCAGAAGCTGCACTGAGCTGAGATTGTGCCACTGCACTCCAACCTGTGTGACAGAGCAAGACCCTGTCTCAAACAAAAGAAAACAAAACTTGTCTTTTTCTTTTTAGAGGGAGTTTGGTTCTTGTGGCCCATACTGGAGTGCAATGGTGTGATCTCGGCTCACTGCAACCTCCACCTCCCGGGTTCAAGTGATTCTTCTGCCTTGGCCTCCCCAGTAACTGGGACTAACAGGCTGCTCTCGAACACTTGACCTCAGGTGGTCCGCCTGCCTCAGCCTCCCAAAGTGCTGGGATTACAGGCATGAGCCACGAAGCCCGGCTTGTAATAAAGGTTTAATATACAGAAAGTATATGCCAGACAATGCACATATAAGTGCATGCTATAATTCTATTACCACATAAAGTAATTGCTTGCATATGCCTTTTATTAGCCCCTGGGATGGTAGACCAGGAGCTCGCAGGGGAACGACCTCGAGGTTGTAATCATAGAACCTAATATTAATGCCATGACTGATGGCCAGGCAGTGGCTCACACCTATAATCCAGACACTTTAGGGGGCTAAAACGGGAGGATAAGGAGCCGGGGAGGTCGAGGCTGCAGTGAATGGTGGTCGCGCCACTGCACTACAGCCTGGGCAACAGAGCAAAACCCTTGCAAAAAAAAAAAAAAAAAAAAAAAAAAAATTAAAAATTATTAATAAAATTCCATGCTTTATTTAACTTTCACAAAAAACATATGAGGGGCACTCTTAGAATCCTCCTTTCACAGATTTAAAAAACCAAGTGTCGGGGAGCTATATGTGCTCATGGTTTCATGGCTAGTTTCGAAAAAGCACGGATTTATCTTGTTTTTGATTGACTCCATTTCATTTTATGCAGTTTTGCCTCCGTAGAGAATCGTTTGAGATCCTGGGCTCTAGAGTAAAAGTCAGGTTTGGGATTTCGGTTCCGCCGTTGGACAGCTTGAGCAGACTACTCGGAGCCTCAACCTCCCCAAGCACTCACCCCGGAAACTACATTTCCCAGCTGGCCGTGCGCCGGAGCCGACGTACTTCCTCCCGGCGTCCCCCGCGGCGGGAAAGAGCCGAGTGGGCTCGAGGCCGACGCGACCATCTTTCGTCGCCGCCGCTGCCGCTGCTGCTGCCGCTGCCGCCGTTGCCGCCGCCCCCGCCGCCCTGAAACAAGCCGTCGCGGCCGCCCCCATCGCCCCTGCCCGCTACCATGTCCGCCCAGGCGCAGATGCGGGCCCTGCTGGACCAGCTCATGGGCACGGCTCGGGACGGTGAGTCAGAGCGGCCGACCAGGCGATGGGCTGGGGTGGGAGTGAGGCGAGGCCGCCGGGCGGCCGGAGGCGGGGGCCGCGATCGTCTGCGCCTGCGCCGGGCACCGCTCCTCCTCCCCCGCGCGCCGACCGCAGGCGCCGGGCCTTTGTCTAAGCTGGCTCGCCTCTGAGGCGGCCGCAGCCGGGTTATTTCTGAGCCGGCTGTGGGTCCGGGTCGGGCTCCTCTCTCGGAGTCTGCGCCATGGATGGGGCTTCAGCCTCCTTCCTATTTACAGTCCGGCGACTGCTTCCCCGGCGGGTGCCGCGGCTCTGTGCCCCTCCGCGGACGGTGGAGTCGGCGGAGGGCTGGAATCAGCGTGGGCTCCAGGTCGCTGGCAGTCGGGTGGCAGAACTCCTCCGAGGCTCCTTGGGAAGAAGCTACACCCGAGGGAGCCGGATGGGGCTCGAAACCCTGGCCCGTTCTGGTTCTGTACCATTGCAAGGGGAGCCGTAAACTGAGCTTCTCTAACGTGGGTTCTGCCGAGTACTTTTCCAGCTCCCCCCTCCCCCCCAGCACACAGGAGAGCCTCGGTGTAGCCAGCTCTTGGCAGTCGTTAGGTAGGTTGTACTGTGTAGGGAGGAGCTCAAGATCATGGTGGTTGTCACAGGAGAAAGCGATTGCATCTTTGCAAAGCTAAAATACCTGCTGCGGTTTGTGTTTTCTTTTCTACTGAAGTAATGAAGTTGTAAGTTCACACTGGCACATTCTCAGGGCTGTGCAGATTATTTGCACTTTATTTCATAGGTGAATAAGTGCTTTTTAGCTTTCTTTGTATATTGAGTTGCTTTTGAATTGCTTCCCATATTTTTATTTCATACAAACTGAACAATTGTGGCCCCTCTATTTTATTTATAAAGGTTCAGTGTATCTTTGCCTGCCTACATCAATCTGCAAGGGAGTTGCAGAAAGCCTCATGTTCATCGAGCCGTGAGTCACAACCAATTTCTAAGCTGTTATAACAAAAAAGTGTTTGCTTTTTTTCACGAGTAACTTTAAAAGTGTAGTTTAGAAAGAAAACATTTTCAATAAAAAGACACTACATTAATCCTGGATGCTTGCAAATCCTAAAAGATATTCCTCTAGTGTTGCACAGCTCTGTGTTGTACACACAGACTGGCTTTTAAAATTTGTCACATACCACTTTGCCTTTACTTTTATGTATCATTCCCCCGACTTCCTTACTGCAGGTGTGGGCAAGAAAACTTTTCCTTTAACACTTTTCAACAGCGGGCATAAAATTCTGCAGCTGAGGTCTTGAAGAATGCAGATGGGTACAGTATGTGTTGGAGCTCACAGTGTGTATTGACTAACCTAGTTCCCTTTTGCTTTTTTTGGTATTGTCTTGTTAAAAGTGACTCCCAGGTAGCAACTCTCTTTTTTAAGGGTGGGGACAAAAGGGACATAGGAAGAATAGATTTAGATTATTTAAGCGTCTTCAATAGCGTTTGAAAGCTTTATTCTTCATTCAATTTTGGGCAAAACACTGCCTCTGCATTTGTTCATAACAAAAAGATTAATAAGTAGCTTTTGTTGGTGGAAATTACCAGCTCTAAAAGTCACCCTTGGTGGTTCATGGACCTCTGATTAGCTTGGGTTGTGGAATCTCATTGCCACATGTATATGTGGAGCCAATGGCCTTTTGGTGCTCAGCCCTTTACGTCTGACTCCTTGACTTCTTTGGTACAGTGATGGAGTCAGATCTCGTTAAGTGCGATTCTTCATGATGTAACTAGCCTAAAAAAAAATGTGCATTCCACTCCAGTTGTAAATATCTTTAGAGCAGCTTTTCATTGTATTTGATGGGGAGAACACAGAAATGATAGTCTGCAAATTATTCAGGTGAATTGTTATATTGGTTCGTTTTGTGGTTGATGTGATAATATTGTCTTATTTAAAACCACAAATGAATTTCAGGAGATGAAACCAGACAGAGGGTCAAGTTTACAGATGACCGTGTCTGCAAGAGTCACCTTCTGGACTGCTGCCCCCATGACATCCTGGCTGGGACGGTAGGTGCATTTTGGAGGACCTCATAGAAGACTCTGTCATAAGTGCTGTGTAGGCATTGAAGGTTTTTTCTTTTTTTTTTTGAGGCGGAGTTTCGCTCTCGTTACCCAGGCTGCAGGCTGGAGTGCAATGGCGCGATCTCGGCTCACCGCAACCTCCGCCTCCCGGGTTCAGGCAATTCTCCTGCCTCAGCCTCCTGAGTAGCTGGGATTACAGGCACACGCCACCATGCCCAGCTGATTTTTTGTATTTTTAGTAGAGACGGGGTTTCACCATGTCGACCAGGATGGTCTCGAACTCTCGACCTCGTGATCCACCCGCCTCGGCCTCCCAAAGTGCTGGGAAGGTTTTTTCTTTTTTTTTTGAGATGGAGTTTCGCTCTTGTTACCCAGGCTGGAGTGCAATGGCGCCATCTCGGCTCACTGCAACCTCCGCCTCCCGGGTTCAGGCCAATTCTCCTGCCTCAGCCTCCTGAGTAGCTGGTATTACAGGCACGCGCCACTGTGCCCAGTTAATTTTTTGTATTTTTAGTAGAGACGGGGTTTCTCCATGTTGACCAGGATGGTCTTGATCTCTTGACCTCGTGATCCACCTGCCTCGGCCTCCCAAAGTGCTGGGATTACAGGCTTGAGCCACCGCGCCCGGCGGCACTGAAGGTTAAGTTGAATTTTGTTTTAACATAAGTTTGTTTTTGTCTAAGTGGCTGACTTACAGCAGGTAATCCTCTACTCGTATATATGTATGCATGCATGCATACATGCAATGGAGTCTCACTGTGTTGCCCAGGCTGAAGTGTAATGGTGCAGTCACAGCTCACTGCAGCCTTGAACTCCTGGGCTCCAATGATCCTCTTACCTCAGCTTCTTGAGGAGCTGGGACTACAGGCATGAACCATCCTCCTGGCTCAATCCTCCACTCTTTAACTGGCAGAAATCCCTGATGCCCTTAAAATGATAGATTCTGCCGGGCGCGGTGGTTCAAGCCTGTAATCCCAGCACTTTGGGAGGCCGAGGCGGGTGGATCACGAGGTCGAGAGATCGAGACCATCCTGGTCAACATGGTGAAACCCCGTCTCTACTGAAAGTGCAAAAAATTAGCTGGGCATGGTGGCACATGCCTGTAATCCCAGCTACTCAGGAGGCTGAGGCAGGAGAATTGCCTGAGCCCAGGAGGCGGAGGTTGCGGTGAGCCGAGATCGCGCCATTGCACTCCAGCCTGGGAAACAAGGGCGAAACTCCGTCTCAAAAAAAAAAAAAAAAAAAAAAAAAATAGATTCTGTTCATTTGGTAAGATTGTATATTATAGAACAAATTTCACTCTTGTAAAATTCTGTCTGCAAAGTTACTAGATTTTTTTTTTTTTTTTTTTTTTTTTTGAGACGGAGTTTCGCTCTCGTTACCCAGGCTGGAGTGCAATGGCGCGATCTCGGCTCACCGCAACCTCCGCCTCCTGGGCTCAGGCAATTCTTCTGCCTCAGCCTCCTAAGTAGCTGGGATTACAGGCATGCACCACCATGCCCAGCTAACTTTTTGTATTTTTAGTAGAGACGGGGTTTCACCTTGTTGACCAGGATGGTCTCGATCTCTCGACCTTGTGATCCACCCACCTCGGCCTCCCAAAGTGCTGGGATTACAGGCTTGAGCCACCGCGCCCGGCCTAGATTTTTTTTTTGTAAAGTCGTTTATAGTGAGATATTCACAGCTAAATAGGGCAAGTAGCAAGTATTCTTTTTTTTTGTTTTGTTTTGTTTTGTTTTGAGATGGAGTCTCGCTCTCTTGCCCAGGCTAGAGTGCAGTGGCTCGATCTTGGCCTGCAACGTCCACCTCCTGGGTTCAAGCAATTCTTCTGCCTCAGCCTCCCAAGCACTTAGGACTACAGGTGTACACCACCATTTTTGTTTTTTTGTTTTTTTGTTTTTTTTTTTTGAGACGGAGTTTCGCTCTTGTTACCCAGGCTGGAGTGCAATGGCGCGATCTCGGCTCACCGCAACCTCCGCCTCCTGGGTTCAGGCAATTCTCCTGCCTCAGCTTCTTGAGTAGCTGGGATTACAGGCACGAGCCACCATGCCCAGCTAATTTTTTCTATTTTTAGTAGAGACGGGGTTTCACCGTGTTGACCAGGATGGTCTCGATCTCTCAACCTCGTGATCCACCCGCCTCGGCCTCCCAAAGTGCTGGGATTACAGGCTTGAGCCACCGCGCCCAGCCTCATTTTTGTATTTTTAATAGAGACAGGGTTTTACTATGTTGGTCAGACTGATCTCAAACTCCTGACTCGTGATCCTCCTGCCTTGGCCTCCCTAAGTGCTGGAATTACAGGTGTGAGCCACTGCACCTGGCCTAGGACAAGTATTCTAATTGGTTGTAGCAAAAAATATGTTTTAGGTCAGCCTGTAGTTCTTTGAAGATTCTGCATGGGTTTTATTTTTGACCTCAAGTAGAGTGTGGGGAAGACTTTTGATCTAGGAAGGTACATTTTCTTCCCCAAATTCTTCGTTGTTGTTTTTATTTTATTTTTTGTGACAGATTTTCGTGCTGTTGCCCAGGCTGGAGTGCAGTGGCATGATCTCAGCTCATTGCAAACTCTGCTTCCTGGGTTCAACCGATTTTCCTGTCTCAGCCTCCCAAGTAGGTGGTACTGGTGCCTGCCACCACGCCCAGCTAATTTTTGTATTTTTAGTACCAACAGGGTTTAACCATGTTGCCCAGGCTGCTCTCAAACCCCTGACCTTGTGATCTGCCTCCCTTGGCTCCCAAAGTACTGGGGTTACAGGAATGAGCCACCATGCCCGCCCCCCCCGACCTTTTTTTCTTTGGGAGACAGTTTTACTCTTTTTGCTTGTGGAGTGCAGTGTCATGATCTCGGGTCACCACAACCTCTGCCTCCCCTGAGGCTCCTGCCTCAGCCTCCCCAGTAGCTGGGATTATAGGCATATGTTAGCATGCCCGGCTAATTTTGCCCGGCTAATGGGGTTTCTACACATTGGACAGGGTGGTCTCGAACTCCTGACCTCCTGATCTGCCCTCCTTGGTCTCCCAAAGTGCTGGGTTGATGCCTGTGAGCCACTTTGCTTGGCAATTTTTTTTTTTTTTTTTTTTTTTTTTTTTTTTTGAGACAGAGGCTCACTCAGCTACCCAGGCTGGAGTGCAGTGGTGTGATCTCGGCTCACAGCAACCACTGTCTCCCGGGTTCAAGTGATTCTCCTGTCTCAGACTCCTCAGTGGCTGGGATTACAGGCACTTGCCATCATGCCTAGCTATTTTTAGTATTTTAGTAGAGACGGGGTTTCACCATGTTGGCCAGGCTGATCTTGAACTCCTGACCTCAAGTCATATGCCTATCTCGGCCTCCCAAAGTGTTGGGATTACAGGTGTGAATCACTGCCCCTGGTTGCTCGGCCAAATTTCTAATTTTTTCATAGAGACGGTCTCACTGTGTTGCCCAGGCTGACATCAAACTCCTGGGTTCAAGTGATCTCCCCACCTTGCCCTCCCTAAGTGTTCAGATTGCAGACATGTGCTGCCTCAACTGGTCCCATATCATTTTTTTTTTTTCTTTCCTTCCTGGTTGTGTAGACATGTTCATTTTTCCTATTGGGGGCGTCTCCTAATTGGGATGTTGGGTTTGGTTAACATGCACTTTATAACTTGACACCATGATCCTCAGCCCACAAACTTTCCTATTGCTGTGTAGATTTGGCCAGAAGCAGAAGGTGTCTGCATAGAGTCCTGTACTTAGGATTTAGATTAAAATCATACATTGTTGTCTAATTGTACTGCATGTAGTACACATAATGGCACATCACGCTAATCTTACAACATAGGTCATTTTGTTTTAGTAAAGGAACATTTTGTTTGTCAAACAGGGGAACTGAGTGGGACAAATATCTGTCCCTACTTTTATGTAAGTTCAGGGTTATTTCCCAGGTTAGGAGAATGTGTAGAGGATTCATTTGGCTATGAATCAGGCTGTTCTGCTTTCTTCCCTTTGATAGACAATCGGCTCCACAAAGCCAAGTGTTAGTTTGTGATATAATTGCCAAAACCTAACTTCTGTCTGCTTTTTCCTTTTCCTCTGTCTCTGCATCTTAGGCATCAAACATCTCGAGTAGTCAAGATTGCAAGACAGGATGCCTACAGACTTGTTGCAGTGAGACTGTTTTCTGGCCCTTTCCCTTTTTTTTTTTTTTTTTTTTTTTTTTGAGGCAGAGTCTGGCTCTTATCGCCAGGCTCGAGTACAGTGGTGCAATCTCGACTCACTGCAACCTCCACCTTGCAAGGTCAAGTGATTCTTGTGCCTCAGCTTCCTGAGTAGCTGGGATTACAGGTGCCCACCACCACACCTGGCTAATCCTTAAATTTTTAGTGGAGACTTGGTTTTATCATGTTGGCCAGGCTGGTCTTGAACTCCTGACCTCACGTAATTCTCCTGCCTCAGCCTCCCAAAGTGCTGGGATTACAGGTGTGAGCCACTGTGCCCAGCCCTGTCTCTTTCCTATCCTCACCGTCCCATATGCTACCATTTACTGAATCCTTGGACTGATGCAAAAATAAAACTGGGCCCGGTGTGGCGGCTTACGCCTGTAATGCCAGTATTTTGGGAGGCTAAGGTGGGTGGATTACTTTAGGTCAGAAGTTTGAGACCAGCCTGGCCTATGTTATGAAACCCCATCTGTACTAAAAATAAAATTAAAAAAAATTAGCTGGGCATAGTGCCTGGAGCTTGTAATCCTCCCAGCTACTTGTGAGTATGAGGCAGGAGAATTGGTTGAACCTGGGAGGCAGAGGTTGCAGTGAGCTGAGGTCATGCCACTGAACTCCAACCTAGGTGACAGAGTGAGACTCCATTTCAAAAAAAAAAAAAAAAAACGGCCGGGCGCGGTGGCTCAAGCTTGTAATCCCAGCACTTTGGGAGGCCGAGGCGGGTGGATCACGAGGTCGAGAGATCGAGACCATCCTGGTCAACATGGTGAAACCCCGTCTCTACTAAAAATACAAAAAATTAGCTGGGCGTGGTGGCGCGTGCCTGTAATCCCAGCTACTCAGGAGGCTGAGGCAGGAGAATTGCCTGAACCCGGGAGGCGGAGGTTGCGGTGAGCCGAGATCGCGCCATTGCACTCCAGCCTGGGTAACAAGAGCGAAACTCCATCTCAAAAAAAAAACAAAAAAAAACAACAACAACAAAACAAAAAACAAAATTGGCCAAAGCCAGTTAATTTAGTTGCCTTGATTACAGTCCAGTTATCTTTGGGTCTAAAAGAAATAGAAACCTTACGCAATTAAATGCATTAGTTTCAAGTATCATGTAGTCAAGTATCATGTAGTCACGATGGTAAAAGTGAAATGAGGCTTCTCAGCCATATCCCCTTTCTTAATTTTCTTATAGTTTCAGTATTCAAACCAAGTCCTGTTACGTGCTTTCTACTGTAGGTAGGCACTCATGTACTTTTTGTTTCCTTTCTACAGCGCATGGATTTAGGAGAATGTACGAAAATCCACGACTTGGCCCTCCGAGCAGATTATGAGATTGCAAGTAAAGAAAGAGACCTGTTTTTTGAATTGGATGTAAGTTTTATTTAGTGTTGATTTATTCGTACTGCGAAGAACTCAATATTGAACTAACAAGAATAATGTAACATACGTAAGTTATGAAGCAAAATAATAAAGTTGATACTTGTTATCCTGCCACTCATGCTGAGAGCTAGAACAGCCAGTACTGTCTACATCTGTGTATCTACTGTGCAACACCGTCATAAATGTTAATATGTATCGTCTCATTTTGTTGCTTTTAAGTGTTTGTTACATTTTTATGAGTCCTTGAACAGTGTTTGTTCTTGCTTAGTTTTGAGCTTTATAAAAGTGGTTTCATAGTGGAGTGTTTAAAATTAGATTTTTTCCTTTCAGTATTATGTTTCTGTTTACCCAGGTTGTTACATGTTTGTTTTCATTGCTGCTTGAATAATTTTCAAACCATGCTTTCTTTATTCATAGACGTTTAGATTGAATCTAGTTTTGCTGTTGCAGACAATATGAATATTTTTGAATATTTTTGGCATGTGTATAAAGATTTATCTTGGGTATATTCCTAGGAGAGGAATTGTAAAGTCTCTGTAAATTTTCACCGCATAGCAGTGTGTACACTTTAACCAATGCTTTGTATTATCAGACTATTTAAGTTTTGCAGTTTAGTGGTTGTAAAATGGCATTTCATTATGGTCTTAATTTGCATTTCTTAGTATTCAGTAGTTGTGATGTTTTATCTACATTAGTAAATCCTTTTTTTTTTTTTTTTTTTTTTTTTGAGATAGGATTTCACTCTGTTGCCCAAAGATTATATAGCTGACTGTAATTGAATTCCTGGGCTCAGGTGATCCTCCTTCCTTAGCCTCCTGAATAGCTACAACTACAGATGCACATGACCATTTGTGGCTAATTGTTTATTTAAATTTTGAGACAGGGTCTTGTTCTGTCTCACAGGCTGGAGGGAATTGACGTGATCATGGCTTGTTGTAACCTTGACCTCTTGGGCTCAGTGACACCTCTACCTCAGGCTCCTGAATAGTTGGGGATACAGGTGTGTGCCACCATACCCAGCTGTTTTTTTGTTTTTATTGTTTTTTGTAGTGACAGGGTCTTACTGTGTTGCCCAGGCTGGTCTCAAACTCCTGGCCTCAAGTGGTCTTGCCACCTCAGACTCTCAAAAGTGTTGGGATTTCAGGTGTCAGCCACTGTGCCTGGCCAGTAAATCCATTTAGAGTAGCATTTTCAGCTTTTTTTCATTGTTGCTCCCAGAGGAACCTTTTTAAACTTTTTCTTCTAATTGTCCCATTTCACCTTTCACCCTGTGAAATCTTGATATCACAGACAACCTGCATATGTGTATATATGTATATATATATGTATATGTATAATTTTATTTATTTTATTTTTTTACCAGAGGCCCACTGCATTCCTAAAGGAACAACTTGCATGTTTGTTTATGTACTGTGATTTTTTTTCTGGGCCGTAGACCATTGTAATATATGGTATTTTTTTACACTTTAAAATTAGTGCTCACTCCTGCCCCCATCAAGAATACGTGATTTTTTTTTTTGGGAGATGGAGTCTCTCTCTGTCACCAGGTTGGAGTGCAGTGGCGTGATCTTGGCTCACTGCAGCCTCCACTTCCTGGGTTCGAGTGATTCTCTTGTCTCAGCCTCTGGAGTAGCTGGGACTACAGGCACGTACTACCGTGCCCAGCTAATTTTTGTGTTTTTAGTAGAGACAGGGTTTTACCACGTTGGCCAGGATGGTCTTGATCTCCTGACCTTGTTAACCACACCGGTTCAAGTAGTTCTCCTGCTTCAGCCTCCCAAGTAGCCAGGATTACAGACGTGAGCCACCATGCCCAGCTAATTTTTGTATTTTTAGTAGAGGCAGGGTTTTACCATGCTGGCAGAATGGTCTTGATCTCATGACCTCGTGATCTGCCCGCCTTGGCCTCCCAAAGTGCTGGGATTACAGGCATGCACCACTGCGCCTGGCCCATTTTTCTTTAATGTCTGTGCTAACAGTAAGTTACCAAACTTTTGGTTCTGCCAATCAGAGGTTAAAAAAAAAAAAGACATTTATAGGCTGGGGGCAGTGGCTCATGTAATCCAGCACCTTGGGAGGCCACGGCAGGTGGATCACTTGAGGCCTGGAGTTGAGACCATCCTGGCCAACATGGCAAAACCCCTTCTCTGCTAAAAACACAAAAGGTAGCTGGGGGTAGTGGTGCATGCCTGTAATCCCAGCTACTTGGGTGGCTGAGGCACGAGCACTGCTGAACCCAGGAGGCGGAGGCTGCAGTGAGCTCAGATTGTGCCACTACACTCTAGCCTGGGTCACAAAGTGAGACTGTCTCTCCCCCTCACCTCCCTCCCCCTTAGAAAAAAAGACATTTGTGGGCCTTGGTTTTCTGCCTGGACCATCACGGTAAGCTTGATGGATGGGACTCCTGGCAGATTTCTACCAGGCATCCACCCAGAACTCAGTTGTTTCACCTGGGAGAAGATGCCTCCATATCCCCATCTTTGGCTCCTTCCAGCCTGATTCAGCCTCAGCCTGACCACAACAGAGCCAGGCCTTTATTTGTTTTATCTGGAAGTTGCCTAGGAAAGGATCTGTGCTATATTTGTTATAAGGTAATCTATAAACTAAGTTTATCAAACAGCAATGTTAATCAAATTAAGCTCTGAAAAAGTTACAGATGGCCGGGTGTTTGCTCGCACCCATAATCCCAGTACTTTTGGAGGTGGAGACAGGAAGATTGCTTGAACCCAGGAGTTCTCAATCAGCCTGGGCAAAGTCTCTACAGAATCAGAAATTTTAGCTGGGCGTAGTGACGTGTTCCTATATTTCTAACTACTTGGGAGGCTGAGGTGGAAGGATGGCTTGAGCGTGAGAGGCTAAAGTGAGCCATGATTGTGCCACTGCATTCTAGCCTGGGTGACAGAGCAAGATGCTCTCTGGAATAAAAAGGGGAAAAAAATTCAAAAAGGTATATTTCTTTAGTGTTCACATGTTGAAAATATAATGAATTGTATTTTTGTAATTCAGCGAAAGTGTAATTAACCTTTTCCCCCCATGCTGTCTGGCTATGTGATGTTGTGACACATTTTCAGAACAACACATATGGGCTCATTTCAAAGCTGTTTTTAGTATACCATATGAGACCAGTTCCGATTCTATGTAGTTTTTCTGTCTTACAAATGTCCAGTGTAATAGATTTTTCTAGGTCAAGTGTCTCGGGTTAGAGTCCCTGTGTGACCCTGGGCAAGTTATTTCACCGTCTTCTAGTCTCTCTAAAGTGGGCTGACGATGGCTGCCTCAGATTTGTGAGGATGAAGTGCAAGGTCTTTGGAGCCAGACCACAAGGGTCCTTGCATCCTGACTCCATTGCTCACTGAGTAGTTCGGCAGCTGTACTTCAGTTTGACCTGTGCAGTAGAGATCCTGCAAGTTCCTCTGCGGATGTTTTGAGGTGCGTGGTGCACGCGCAGAGCGCAGCACAAGGGCCCCTGTTTGCTGTGACAGTTCTGACTGACAGCATGGGCTTATTTGGCTCAGTGATCTCTGGCCTATGTCATTGCTGCTGGGCTGGGAGAGCTGGGAATGGTACCAGACAGTCCATGTGTGGGGAGACAACGTCCTCAGCGGAGATGACACTTGCTAATATTGCCCAATTTTGCCCTATTATTAAGACACTTAGGCCTTTGTGCTGGTGCTGTCATGCTTAGGTGCTTTTAGGATTCATGTTTTATAGCACCACCCTGAAAGATACAGAGGTTGGGTTTCGTTCTTTTTTTTTTTGAGACAGAGTCTCACACTGTTCCTTGGGCTGGAGTAATGGTACAATGGCCTCACTGCATTCTCTGCTTCCTGGGTTCAGGCGATTCTCCTGCCTCAGCCTCCCAAGTAACTGGGATTACAGGTGCCCACCACCACACCCAACTAATTTTTTGTATTTTTAGTAGAGATGAGGTTTCACTATTTTGGCCAGACTAGTCTCGAACTCCTTACCTCATGATCTGCCTGCCTCAGCCTCCCAAAGTGCTGGGATTACAGGCATGAGCCACCATGCCCACTCTTTTTTATTTTATTTTTTTTTGAGACAGAGTCTTGCTCTGTTGCCCAGGCTGGACTACAATGGCATGGTGTTGGCTTCCTGCAACCTCCACCTCCCAGGTTCAAGTGATTCTTCTGCCTCAGCCTCCGGAGTAGCTGGGATTACAGGCACCTGCCACCATGCCAGGCTAATTTTTGTGTTTTTAGTGGAGACAGGGTTTCACCGTCTTGGCGAAGCTAGTCTCAAACTCCTGACCTTGTGATCCGCCCACCTTGACCTCCCAAATGCTGGAATTACACATGTGAGCCACCGTGCCCCACCATTTTTTTTTTACATTTTTAGTAGAGACGGGTTTCACCCTGTTGGCCAGGCTGGTGACCTCAGGTCATCCATCCGTGTTGGTCTCCCAAAGTGCTGCACCTGGCCTACCATTTAGTTGTTAGGTTATCAGACATCTGAGTCCATAGCCCATTTGGATTCTGCCTAAGGTGCAGGTAATGGCTTTGATTGGTTAAGGTATTGGCAGGGTTGTCAGCTGCCTGTTTCCTGTTTGACCCCTCGTAAGTGAATTCCTGAGTCTTTCTCATGGGAGTGGGTGATTGCTCCGCTTGGGCAGACAGTAGAGAGCCACTGTGTGGGTGAAGCTGGGGCATCTCAAACTGGTCTGTTAGGGGCTGTTGTCTGAGGTAGGTACAGAAGAGAAGGCACAGTGACCCTTATCAGCTCCTTAGTCCTTGGATCCTGATGAGCTCCAGCCAGTTCTTTATCTTTCCAGTAAGTCCAATGTACAGGTGCATATAAGCAGTCAAATGCCAGATCGTTTGCTTTCTGAAATGTTTACTAGAGAATATCTGGGTAACCAGCAAGAGGCAGTTTGTTATTTTTTTGAGATGGAGTCTCCCCCAGGCTGGAATCCTGTAGCGTGATCTCAGCTCACTGCAACCTCCACCTCCCAGGTTCAAGTGATTATTCTGACTCCGCCTCCCAAATTTCTGGGATTACAGGCATGAGCTACTGCGCCTGGCCAAGAGGCAGTTTTTGAATTCCAAAATTATGGAATGATACCTAGGAGTCAACCTTCATGAATGATGCTGCTTGTCCTTTCTCCAGCTTCCTAGAAGACTGGGCACCAGGAGACTTGAAGCTTCTTCCCTGTCTTGACCTAATCCCAAATATACATGTTTTTGAAAAAAATATTTGAGATTTCTAGACAAGATTATAACCTCCTCTAGTGTCTTTTTGATCCATTCCAGATCTTTGTGGAGCAGTTTATTACAGATGACCTACTCTCCTGCCCATTTTAGGAGTGGTGATACAGATTATCACCCCTTAGTGTTTTCCTGTCATCTGCCTTCTCATCTCTACCTAAAATTTTGTTTTTGGTAAAAGACTGTGCTGTCTAAACCTGTCCTCATTGCAGAACAAACTTACTTGCATTTAACTTGATGCTGACATTAGAAAGCTGACTTAAAGTATAATGTTAAGTGTTTCTTACCTGGTCAGTGGCTGACAGTTGGAAAAGTGAGGTGAGGCCCTGTCTGTGGTTTTTTTTTTTTTTTTTTTTGGAGACTCAGTATCACTCTGTCGCCCAGGCTGGAGTGTAGTGGTGCCATCTCGCCTCACTGCAACCTCTCCCTCCTGAGTTCGAGGGATTCTTCTGCCTCAGTCTGCTGAGTAGCTGTGACACAGGTGCGCACCACCATGCCTGGCTAATTTTTGTATTTTTAGTAGAGACGGTTTTTTTTTCTTTTACAGAGTCTTGCTTTGTTGCCCAAACTGGAGTACAGTGACACAGTCTTGGCTCACTGCAACCTCTGCCTCCTAGGCTCAAGTGGTTCTTCTGCCTCAGCCTCCCGAGTAGCTGGAATTACAGGCACCGGCCACCACGCCTGGTTAATTTTTGCATTTTTATTAAGAGACAGGGTTTTACCACTTTGGCCTGGCTGGTCTCGAACTCCTGACCTCAGGTGATCCGCCCACTTCAGCCTCCAGAAGTGCTGGTATTACAGGTGTGAGCCACTGCGCTTTGCCCTGTCTGTATTTTTATCTGAAATTGTGTTGGCCTTTGCCTAGTTATGGTGAATTAACTTTAGCATATGGTAGTTCTCTTATTGTTTCTCTCCAGCCCTTTTCAGGGTTAGCACTTAGACATCTGAGTTTCTTTTCCTTTATCTGTTTGGGTAAATAGCAACCAGGTTTTCCTACTAATTTAGACAGTAGGCAATAACGAAATGTATTCATAGCTCTCAGTAATGTTTGTTCTGTTGTTTTGTTTTTGAGGTGAAAGGGGGAACCCTACCCTCAGAACATGAGGGAATAATATTTACGTGGCTCACAAAGACCAGTGAGTACATCATACACATCTCTCACGACTCCCCGGAAGAGGGCCTTCAGCACTAGTCTAGGCTCAGCCTTTTCTGTCCCTCCGAGAACGCTCTGAATTGCTGCACAGTGTTTTAATTTTCCACAAAACTTCTTTGTAATGTTATTGAGGGTTGAGGTCCTTTACAAGTTTTGGAAATTTCAAATCAAATGAGAAGACCATGCTTCCAGTCATTCATTCTGTTTAACAGATCCCCTTGATTTAATGCGATTAGGAATGTGTTAGCAATAGTGTAGTTTCAGATCTTCCCATTTATCTACAGGCTTTAAAGAAACGAAACCAGGAGTGTATTTACTATCAAGCAAATGGGTTCCAGGACTTTTTGCTTTACACATAATTGATGCCAGCTGTCTGCTTTTCCCATGCTAGGCAATGGATCACTTGGAGTCCTTTATAGCGGAATGTGATCGGAGAACTGAGCTTGCCAAGAAACGACTGGCAGAAACACAGGAGGAGATCAGTGCAGAAGTTTCTGCAAAGGTATGCTTGGGTGACGGTGACTTTGCTACCCATTATGTTCTTGCAAATACTGTGTTGTCGATATCTGTTAACTCACCCTGAGCCCTGATTGGGTGGACAGTAACTCAGTATTCTCTGCCTTATTCCAGTTAAGGACAGAGGGCTGTAATCAGGCATTTATGTGTCATTCTCATCCCTCAGGAGCTGCTGCCTCTGTCTTCTTCTGTGCATTCTTCTCCGTACATGGTTTTATTATTATATTTTTAAAACTTGAATGTAATATTTGCTGAGTTTGATGGCTCACGTCTATAATCCTAGCAGTTTGGGAGACCCAGGTGGGGCAGATTACTTAAGCACAGGAGTTCTAGACCAGCCTGGGCAACATCACGAAACCCCATCTACAAAAAATACAAATATTAGCTAGGCTTGGTGGTGCACATGTGCACCCCAGTTTTTCAGGAAGCTCAGGTGGGAAGATCACTTGAGCCTGGGGTGGTTGAGGCTCCAGTGAGCAATGATCAAGCTACTGTACTTCAGCCTGGATGACAGAGTGAGGCTCTGCCTCAAATGAAAAAAAAAAAAAAAAATGGCTGTCTTTTTTTAAAAAAAAAAAAAGAGAGAGATGGAGTCCCTGTTGCCTGGGCGGGTCTCAAGCTCTTGGGCTTAAGTGATCTTCCCACCTTGTCCTCCCAAACTTCTGGGATTACAGGCGTGAGCCAGCGTGCCCAGCCTTTACGTGTTGCTTTAAACTTTAACATCTCCACGTAAAACTGGAAAGAATTACTAAGGAAAGGCCGGGCGCGGTGGCTCAAGCCTGTAATCCCAGCACTTTGGGAGGCCGAGGCGGGTGGATCACGAGGTCAAGAGATCGAGACCATCCTGGTCAACATGGTGAAACCCCGTCTCTACTAAAAATACAAAAAAATTAGCTGGGCATGGTGGCGCGTGCCTGTAATCCTAGCTACTCAGGAGGCTGAGGCAGGAGAATTGCCTGAACCCAGGAGGCGGAGGTTGCGGTGAGCGGAGATCGCGCCATTGCACTCCAGCCTGGGTAACAAGAGCCAAACTCCGTCTCAAAAAAAAAAAAAAAAAAAAAAAAAAGAATTACTAAGGAAATGGTCAAAGTGTGGTATATCCATACTACAGAATGAAAAAGGAGGTAGATTTGTGCATGATTAGAGTACCAGCTGCATCGCACTTGTTTTTTGTCTTCAGTGGAACTAAGTCTCTCCTTGTTTCTTCTTTTCAAGATTGTAAAAGCATTTCTTAGGATTTCTGCAATTGCTATTGTGACCAAAGGTGCAATTTTGTTTCAGAAGATAAATCTCAGTAATTAGGTATTTTGCTTATAGCATACAGTTGTGCATTTAAACCTAGACACTTTGTTACCCTTTCCAAGAAGAAGAAAGTCATAAAAAGAGACAGGCTCATTGATCCTTGAAACCATGTTGGAAGTGACAAAGGTGCTATTGGTTTAATTGGAACACAGCACATGGGATTAATTTATGGTTATAGTCTCAATGCTGGCAATAAGGATGCCTTAATTCTTTTTTTTTTTTGAGACAGAGTTTCACTCGTTCGTTACCCAGGCTGGAGTGCAATGGCACGATCTCGGCTCACCGCAACCTCCGCCTCCTGGGTTCAGGCAATTCTCCTGCCTCAGCCTCCTGTGTAGCTGGGATTATAGGCACACGCCACCATGCTCAGCTAATTTTTTGTATTTTTTTAGTAGAGATGGAGTTTCACCATGTTGACCAGGATGGTCTCGATCTCTTGACCTCGTGATCCACCCGCCTTGGCCTCCCAAAGTGCTGGGATTACAGGCTTGAGCCACGGCGCCCGGCCTAGGATGCCTTAATTCTTAACTATGGATCTTTTTTTTTTTTTTTGACAGGATTTCACCATGTTGGTCAGGCTGGTCTTGAACTCCTGACCTTAGGTGAGCTGTCCACCTCGGCCTCCCAAAGTGCTGGGATTATGGGCATGAGCCACCACGCCCGGCCCTACGTGTGGATCTTTAGGTGGTCCATTTATTTTCAGTAGAACAGACTGGCAGTGGAGCAGGAGAAACCCTTGTTTCCTTTGCATTCACTGTCATTTTTAGATGTCTCCTTACCTGATTCTTTCTCCTCACAGGCAGAAAAAGTACATGAGTTAAATGAAGAAATAGGAAAACTCCTTGCTAAAGCCGAACAGCTAGGGGCTGAAGGTAATGTGGATGAATCGCAGAAGATACTTATGGAAGTAGAAAAAGTTCGTGCGAAGAAAAAAGAAGCTGAGGTTGGTGAGAGAAATGTCTTAGGGAAAGAGAAATCTTAGTAATTTGGAAGAGTTTACCATTTGAATTAATTTAAGCCATACTTGCTTGCATTTAGAAAGAAATTATGAGCTTTGTTTTTTCAAGCAGTTTTAGCTTCACAGCAAAATTGAGAAGAAAGTACAGAGATTCTCCATGTACCCCCTCCTCAGACAACCTCCATTACCAGCATCCTCCACAATCAGTGGGTCTGCATTGACACATCATTATCACCCAGAGTCTGTAGAAAATGTTAGATATGTCATGAATACATAAAATACATGTGGATACTAGATTTTTAAAATTTATACCATAAAATATATACAAATGTATTATGAAAATGTAACATTTATCAAAACTTATGCATATGGCCAGGTATGGTGGCTCTTGGCTTTAGTCTCAGCTGATTGGGAGGCTGAGATGGTAGGATCCTTTAATCCTAAGAGTTTTGAGGTCCAGCCTGGGCAACATAGCAAGACCCTGTCTCAAGGAAAACCTTACGTGCAAACACTTAACAGACTGTACATGATACCATTTGCCATTGAGAGATGTAAACAAACGTACTGCAGAGGTGCAGTATTAAATCAGTCCTGCATAAGAATAACTGTAATGTGCCGGGCGCGGTGGCTCAAGCCTGTAATCCCAGCACTTTGGGAGGCCGAGGTGGGTGGATCACGAGGTCAAGAGATTGAGACCATCCTGGTCAACCTGGTGAAACCCCATCTCTACTAAAGATACAAAAAATTAGCTGGGCATGGTGGCGCGTGCCTGTAATCCCAGCTACTCAGGAGGCTGAGGCAGGAGAATTGCCTGAACCCAGGAGGCGGAGGTTGCGGTGAGCCGAGATGGCGCCATTGCACTCCAGCCTGGGTAACAAGAGCGAAACTCCGTCTCAAAAAAAAAAAAAAAAAAAAAAAAAAAAAGAATAACTGTAATGTATACTGTACTACCACTATAAATAATGCCACCTCTTGTTGCTATTATGTGGAGCTTAAGTGTTGCAGGTATCCACGTGAAACACCATGTAACACTAATCACCTCGGAAGGAGCAGTTCACCTCCAGTACGTTGCTTACTGCAGTAAAAAGTGATCTTGTGTTTAGTGCAATACCATAAACTTTGAGTAATGCCATAGGAGCCATATGATGAGTGCCACTAGTGATGCTGAAAATGCTCCCAAGAAGGCAAGAAGAGTCACAGTATTACAAGAAAGAGTAGAATTGCTTGATATATACATTAGATTGAGGTCTGTAGCTGCAATTGCCACCATTTCAGACAGACAATTCATGTTATAAATGAGCAATAATAGAGTTGATAAGTACAGCACAGTGTTACAAATGTATTTCATTTTCCTTATAATTTTTTGATAACATTTTCTTTAGCTCACTTTATTGTAAGAATACATTATATAATACATACAATATACAAATAAGTATTAATCCGTAGGCCGGGCGCGGTGGCTCAAGCCTGTAATCCCAGCACTTTGGGAGGCCGAGGCGGGTGGATCACGAGGTCGAGAGATCGAGACCATCCTGGTCAACAAGGTGAAACCCCGTCTCTACTAAAAATACAAAAAGTTAGCTGGGCATGGTGGTGCGTGCCTGTAATCCCAGCTACTCAGGAGGCTGAGGCAGGAGAATTGCCTGAGCCCAGGAGGCGGAGGTTGCGGTGAGCCGAGATCGCGCCATTGCACTCCAGCCTGGGTAACGAGAGCGAAACTCCGTCTCAAAAAAAAAAAAAAAAAAAAAAAAAAAAAAGTATTAATCCGTAAACTTGTCCAACCTGAGGGCCATGGGCCACATGCAGCCCAGGACGGTTTTGAATGCTGCCCAACACAAATTTATAAACTTTTTAAAAACGTTAAGAGATTTTCTTTTATTTTGTGATGGAATCTTGCTCTGTACCCGGGCTGGGGTGCTGTGGCATGATCTCAGCTTAACTGCAGCCTCCACCTCCTAGGCTCAAGCAATTTTCCTGCTTCAGCCTCTTTGGTAGCTGGGATTACAGGCTCCCACCAGCACACTCACCTAAGTTTTCTTTATTTTATTTTGTTTGTTTATTTTATTTATTTATTTATTTATTTTTTGAGATGGAGTCACCCTGTCGCCCAGGCTGGAGTGCAATGGTGTGACCTTGGCTCACTGAGGCCCCTGCCTCCCAGGTTCAAATGACTCTCATGTCTCAGCCTCCTGAGTAGCTGGAATTACAGGCACATGGCACCATGCCTGGCTAATTTGTATTTTTAGTGGAGAGTTCTGTTCCTGTTTGTCCATGTCACCTTCAGCAGTTGGTAATGGTGGTTTTTGCTATTCTGATAGGTGTGTAGTGGCATATTGTTTTATTTATTTATTTTATTTATTTATTTATTTATTTTTGAGACGGAGTTTCGCTCTTGTTACCCAGGCTAGAGTGCAATGGCGTGATCTCGGCTCACCGCAACCTCCGCCTCCTGGGTTCAGGCAATTCTCCTGCCTCAGCCTCCTGAGTAGCTGGGATTACAGGCACACGCCACCATGCCCAGCTAATTTTTTGTATTTTTAGTAGAGACGGGGTTTCACCATGTTGACCAGGATGGTCTCGATCTCTCGACCTCGTGATCCACCCGCCTCGGCCTCCCAAAGTGCTGGGATTACAGGCTTGAGCCACTGCGCCCGGCCTATTATTTATTTTTTGAGACTGTTTTTCTCTGTTGCCCAAGCTAGAGTGCAGTGGCTCGATCTTGGCTCACCACAACCTCTGCCTCCTGGTTTCAAGCAGTTCTTGTGCCTCAGCCTCCCAAGTAGCTGGGATTACAGGTGTGTACCCCCACACCTGGCTAATATTTTGTATTTTTAGTAGAGATGGGGTTTCACCATTTTGGCCAGGCCAGTCTGGAACTCCTGTCCTCAAGTCATCCACCCACCTCGGCCTCCCAGAGGGCTGGGATTATAGCTGTGAGCCACTGCACCTGGCCAGAACTTTTTAATTTTCATGAACTCCATTTTGTCAATTATTTCTTTCATGGATGATGATTTATCTAAAAAGGCATGTGGTCCAGAATACCTTTTTCATTTTTTTTTTTTTTTTTTAAGACGGAGTTTCGCTCTTGTTACCCAGGCTGGAGTGCAATGGCGCGATCTCGGCTCACCGCAACCTCCGCCTCCTGGGTTCAGGCAATTCTCCTGCCTCAGCCTCCTGAGTAGCTGGGATTACAGGCACGTGCCACCATGCCCAGCTAATTTTTTGTGTTTTTAGTAGAGACGGGGTTTCACCATGTTGACTGGGATGGTCTCGATCTCTTGACCTTGTGATCCACCTGCCTCAGCCTCCCAAAGTGCTGGGATTACAGGCTCGAGCCACTGTGCCTGGCTCTCGTTTTTTTTTTAAAAAAAGGCATTACTACACAAGCTCAGCTACATCTAGATCTTCTGTGTTGTCTTCAAGGAGTCTTTTTTTTTTTTTTGAGACGGAGTCTGGCTCTCTGGCCAGGCTAGAGTGCAGTGGCGCAATCTCAGCTCACTGTAACCTCTGCCTCCCGGGATCAAGCAGTTCTCCTGCCTCAGCCTTCCTAATAGCTGAGACTACAGGTGCACACCACGATGCCCAGCTAATTTTCGTATTTTTAGTAGAGACGGAGTTTTGCCATGTTGGCAAGGATAGTCTCAATCTCTTGACCTCCTGATCCACTTGCCTCAGCCTCCCAAAGTTCTGGGATTACAGGTGTAAACCACTGCGCCTCTTCGAGATTGACTTTTTTTTACTCAACATAATTAGCATTTATTTTGAAAGATGTTACTAGGGTGGCATTTAAGGTTTCAAAACTATAGAAGGATACAGAATATTGTTTTTGCTTAAGGTTTTTTTTTCAGTTAATGATATATACTGTAATGGAAATTCAACTTCTTGTTTTTTTCTTATCCATTCCCCACCTTTTATTTCTTAATATTTGAGACAGGGTCTTGCTGTCACCCAGGGTTGCCTAGGGTGAAGTGCAGCGGTGCAGGCGCAGCTCACTGCCTCCTCGACCTCCTGGGCTCAGGCAATTCTTCCAAATCAGCCTCTTGAGGAGATGGGACTACAAGCCTTTGCCACCACATTGGGCTAATTAATTTTTTATTTTTAGAGACTGGGTCTTCTGTGTTGCCCATGCAGGTCTCAAACTCCTGAGCTCAAGTGATTCTCCTCAGTCTCCCAGAGTGCTGAGATTATAGGCATGAGTCAGTGCACCCAGCCTAGAATGCATTTTTTTTTTTTGAGCCTCAGTCTTGCTCTGTCACCCAGGCTGGAATGCAGTGGCATGATCTTTGTTCACTGCAGCCTCTGCTTCCTCGGTTCAAGCAATTCCTCTGCCTCAGCCTCCTCAGTAACTGGGACTACAGGCACGCATCACCATGACCAGCTAGTTTTTCTTTTTTTTTTTTTTTTTTTTTTTTTGACAGAGTCTTGCTTTGTCACCCAGGCTGGAATGCCACGGTGTGGTCTCTGCTCACTGCAAACTCCGCCTCCTGGGTTCAAGTGATTCTCCTGCCTCAGCCTCTTGAGTAACTGGGATTACAGGCTCACGACACCATGCCTGGCTAATTTTTGCATTTTTAGTAGAGACGGGGCTTCACCATGTTGACCAGGCTGGTCTTGAACTGCTGACCTCTCATGATCCACCCGCCTTAGCCTCAGGTGTCAGCCACTGTGCCCGGCCTAATTTTTGTATTTCTAGTAGAGATGGGGTTTCACCATGTTGGCCAGGCTGGTCTTGAACTCCTGACCTCGTGGTCCACCCACCTCAGCCTCCGAAAATGCTGGGATTACAGGTATGAGCCACTGCAGCCTGGCCAGTTTTTTTTGTGTGTGTGACAGCGTTTTCCTCTGTCATCCTAGTTGGGAGTGTAGTGGTGTAATCTCAGCTCACTGCAACCTCTATCTCCTGGGTTTAAGCAATTCTCATGCCTCAGTCTTTCCAGTAGCTGGTATTACAGGTGTCTGCCACCACGCCCGACTAATTTTTACATTTTTAGTAGTGACAGGGTTTTGCCATGTTGGCCCAGTTCGTCTTGAACTCCTGACCTCAAGTGATCCGTCTACCTTGGCCTCCCAGAGTGCTGGGATTACAGGTGTGAGCCTCCAAGCCCAGCCTGTTAGTGCGTTTCTTAAATAAACAGTGAAAATTGAATTGGTCATAAATATTTGAAGTTTTGTTTGTGTTGTTTTAAATATTTGTTTAAAAGTTACCTCTGTCATCAAATGTTTACATTTCGGAGATTGGATTCTCGGTGACTGCTTTGTATGCTTTTTATCTTTCTATTTTCCTTCTCCAGGAAGAATACAGAAATTCTATGCCTGCTTCCAGTTTTCAGCAGCAAAAGCTGCGTGTCTGTGAGGTCTGTTCAGCCTACCTTGGTCTCCATGACAATGACCGTCGCCTGGCAGACCACTTTGGTGGCAAGTTACACTTGGGGTTCATTCAGATCCGAGAGAAGCTTGATCAGTTAAGGGTATGTTCATCTGTTTCTGGAGAGCTGAGTTGTCTTGGGGTGTCTTTACATTCCTTTAATTTTTAAAAACCTTACATTCTGATCTCTAAGAGCTTGAGATTTGTAGTGAAATACTCAGATTTCATCACTTGGGTTCACACAAGAGACATGATAGCTCAGAGACCAAAGGGGCCTTGGAGATTTAGTATGGACCCTGTTGTTAACAGAAGGAAATGGCAGCGCCACCGGGCCTGATGGCTCATACCTATAATCCCAGCACTTTGGGAGGTCGAGGTGGGCAGATCACCTTAGGTCAGGAGTTTGAGACTAGCCTGACCAACATGGAGAAACCCCATCTCAACTAAAAATACAAAATTAGCCAGGTGTGGTGGTGAATGCCTGTAATCTCATCCACTGGGGAGGCTGAGGCAGGAGAATTGCTTGAACCCAAGAGGCAGAGGTTGTGGTGAGTCAAGACTGAGCCTGGGCAGCAAGTGTGAAACTCCATCTCAAAAAAGAAAAAAAAGGAAATGGCAGAGCCTACTCCCAGGGTACATACAGCTCCTTGTGTACCTCTGAAATAACTTGTTTGGAGATGAGAAAGAGTCGGTATGGTCGGTCAAGACAATATCACACATCCTGGCTCCTTACCTGTGAGCCACCTCAGAAGCGCAAGGTGAGGATGGGGTTCTTCTGAGAGCATTGTACTGTCCTGGCCCAGAGACAGCCTCTGTTCCTTTCTCCAGGCTCTAAGACATTTAAAATCTTTAAGTACAGAAGGCTAAGAAGGAAGGTTGGACATGTTTCCATGACTTTGAATTGTCTTCCTTCACACTGACGGAGCCTCCCTTGCTGCGTACTCGGACTTCAGGATAGGATGGTGGGAAATTAGCCAGCCTCCCCACCGCCCCTCCCTCCTCGTCCCCCCGTATAACTGAAATGTAATGGAGGGACAGACACGTGGCCCCTGACTGCAGAATTGCTGCAGTGACCAAAGCCGCGGGCCTTGTGTGCCCCAGGAGGAGCTGCTGACTCGGCAGCATGTGTCAGGGCTCTGCGCCTGAGGAAGGTCCCCTGGGGGATTGTGTGAGCCTGGGACTGGAATAGGAGCTGGCACAGCAGTGAGGCTATTCTCAGCCTCTGGTCTTGAAACATTTTGCTTTGTTACCGAATTTTGAAAAGCAGTGTACTCTGTCACAGTTTTTTTTTTTTAGCTGGAATTTTTCTTTATAAGTTTATAGGTATGAAAGATGTAAAAGTATGTATCCAGTGGAATTATAAATTACAATTTAGTATGCATTAAAAATTTGCTTTTGGCTGGGGGCGGTGGCTTACGTCTGTAATCCCAGCACTTTGGCAGGCTGAGGAGGGCAAATCACTTGAGGTCAGGAGTTCGAGACCAGCCTGGCCAACATGGCGAAACCCCGGGTCTACTGAAAACAGAAAAATTAGCCAGGTATGGTGATACGTGCCTGTATTCCCAGCTACTCAGGAGGTTGAGGCAGGAGAATCACTTGAACCTGGGAGGCAGAGGTTGCAGGGAGCCAAGATTGAACCATTGCACTGTAGCCTGGGCCACAGAGTGAGACTGTCTCAAAGAAAAAAAAATTGCTTCCTAGCAGTTGGAAATGTTACTTTAAGTTTTCTTTTTTTTCTGGAGACGGAGTTTCGCTCTTGTTACCCGGGCTGGAGTGCAATGGCACGATCTCGGCTCACTGCAACCTCCGCCTCCTGGGTTCAGGCAATTCTCCTGCCTCAGCCTCCTGAGTAGCTGGGATTACAGGCATGCGCCACCACGCCCAGCTGATTTTTTTGTATTTTTAGTAGAGACGGGGTTTCACCATGTTGACCAGGATGGTCTCGATCTCTGGACCTCGTGATCCACCCACCTCGGCCTCCCAAAGTGCTGGGATTACAGGCTTGAGCCACCGCACCCGGCAAGTTTTCTTTTTTTTTTTTTTTTTTTTTTTTTTTTTGAGATGGAGTTTCGCTCTTGTTACCCAGGCTGGAGTGCAATGGCGCGATCTCGGCTCACTGCAACCTCCGCCTCCTGGGCTCAGGCAATTCTCCTGTCTCGGCCTCCTGAGTAGCTGGGATTACAGGCACGCGCCACCATGCCCAGCTAATTTTTTGTATTTTTAGTAGAGACGGGGTTTCACTATGTTGACCAGGATGGTCTCGATCTCTCGACCTCGTGATCCACCCGCCTCGGCTTCCCAAAGTGCTGGGATTACAGGCTTGAGCCACCGCGCCCGGCCAAGTTTTCATTTTATAGCCCAGAATTTTGTCCTACTGTAGGTTTTTGTTTCGTTTTTTGAGTCAGGGTCTTGCTCTGTCACCCAGGCTAGAGTCCAGTTGCAAGATCTCAGCTCACTTCAGCCTCCACCTCTGAGGTTCAAGCGATTCTCATGTCTCAGCCCCCCAGGTAGCTGGAACTATAGGTGTTTACCAGTACACTCGGCTAATTTTCATGTTTTTAGTAGAGATGGGGTTTTGCCATGTTGCCCAGGCTGGTCTCGAACTCCTGAGCTCAGGTAATCCACCTGCCTCAGCCTCCCAAAAGTGCTAGGATTACAGGTGTGAGCCACAGTGCTTGACCTTAATGTATTTTTTTTGCATCTGCAAGTCTTTTATTTCCTTAAGTGTGTATTTCTGCATAAGAAATGTGAATGTAGTGAAATGTGTTTCCCTTGTCTTAAGAGGCATTAACTTGGTTAGAAAGCTTGTTATATCATTGCAGTTACGAGTAGCATAGAATTGAGCAAAACAACCCAACTTGTATTACAAACTTTGATAAGTAATTATTAAAGTAACAGCTCAGAATGTTTTTGGAATTACACCTCATGATACGGAGAGTATGAGTTCTGTGCCCTAATTACAGGAGGCTTCACTCACCGTAGTCCCAGAGATGTCCACCTGCCTCCGCCTCCCAAAGTGCTGGGATTACACATGAGCTACCGCACCTTCACCAATCCTTAATTTTTTTTTTTTTTTGAGACGGAGTTTCGCTCTTGTTACCCAGGCTGGAGTGCAATGGCACGATCTCGGCTCACCGCAACCTCCACCTCCTGGGTTCAGGCAGTTCTCCTACTTCAGCCTCCTGAGTAGCTGGGATTACAGGCACACGCCACCATGCCCAGCTAATGTTTTGTATTTTTAGTAGAGACGGGGTTTCACCATGTTGACCAGGATGGTATCGATCTCTTGACCTCGTGATCCACCCGCCTTGGCCTCCCAAAGTGCTGGGATTACAGGCTTGAGCCACCGCGCCCGGCCCAATCCTTAATTTTTAAAAAAAAATGCCATCCTTGAGACTGGGCCTGGTGGCTCATGCCTGTAAGTCCAGCATTTAGGAAGCCAAGGCAAGAGAATTGATTGAGCTCAGGAGTTTGAGACCAGCTTGGCAATGTAAGGGGAGACCCTGTCTCTACCAAAAATATAATAATTAGCCGACTGTGGAGGTGTGTGCCTTTGGTTCCCGCCACTCAGGAGGCTGACATGGATTGTTTGGACCTTGGAGCTCAAGGCTGCAGTAAACTGTGATCGCACCATTACACTCCAACCTAGACAAAATCGTCTGATTTTGTTTTGTTCTGTTTTTTTTTTTTTTTTTTTTTTTTTGAGACGGAGTTTCGCTCTTGTTACCCAGGCTGGAGTGCAATGGCGCGATCTCGGCTCACCGCAACCTCCGCCTCCTGGGTTCAGGCAATTCTCCTGCCTCAGCCTCCTGAGTAGCTGCGATTACAGGCACGCACCACCATGCCCAGCTAATTTTTTGTATTTTTAGTAGAGACGGGATTTCACCATGTTGACCAGGATGGTCTCGATCTCTTGACCTCGTGATCCACCCACCTCGGCCTCCCAAAGTGCTGGGATTACAGGCTTGAGCCACCGCGCCCGGCCTTGTTCTGTTTTTTAAGAGACAGGGTATCCCTCTGTCACCCAGTCTGGAGTATAGCGGTGTGATGGTAGCTGATAGCTTATTGTCACTGTAATCTGGAACTCCTGGACTCAAGTAGTCCTCTGTCCTCAGTCTTCTGAGTAGCTGCAACTATAGGCACACGCCACCATGCCTGGCTAATTTTTTTTTTGTGAACAGAAAAAACAATAAACACCTTTATTACATGGGTGAAGACAGAAAACAAGGATTTATTTGCCTTTCCGGGCCTTGATTTTCCTAAGATAGAACTCCAACTCTTTGCCCGATAGCACACAGCCATCTGCTCGGCCACAGTTTCCCTGTCTTGAAGCGATGCACGCAAGAAGCTTGCCCTGCCGGAACTGCTCCTTCAGGAGACTGCTGATTTTGGCATTCTTTTTCCTTTCGTCTTATTTCTTCTGAATTTTTTGATCGTTTTTGTTTAAAATCTCTTCTTCCTCAGAAGTCAGCTTGGCTCCCTTCTTGCGGCCCAGGGGCAGCGCATGGTGGGACTTGTACCACTGTCGGTACGGCGTGCTGTCGATGAGCACGATGTGATTCTTCACCAGGGTCTTGGTACTGACCAGCTCATTACTAGACGCGTTATAGACAACATCGATGATCCTTGTTTTGCGAGTACAACACTCTGAGCCCCAGGAGAAACTCTCCACGTCCAGCCTCAGGGCACACAGGCTGTGTGGATGCGGCAGGGGCCGATCTTGGTGTTGGCAGCCGGGCGCCCCCAGCTCATACTTCGCCTCTTGTGGTGGGGCTTTCTCTTGCCCCTGGTCTTGCGGCGCTTGTGCCAGTTGTCCCGAGAGATGCCCATCGCTTGGTGCTGGCTGGAAAGAGAAATTTTTTTTGTTTGTACTTCAGGTTCTGGGGTACATGTGCAGATTATGCAGGATTGTTGCATAGGTACATGCATGGCAAGGTGGTTTGCTGCCTCCATCTCCCCCCCCGCTTTTTTTTTTAAAGGCAGGAATATCTTACTATGTTTGCCAGGCAAGTCTCAAACTCCTGGCCTCAAATGATTCTGCCTGTTCAGCCTCCAAGAGTGCCGAGATGGCGTGAGCCACTGTACTGGGCTTTAATGCCATCCTTAAACATAACGTTAAAGATGTCATCCACGTGTGCCCTGCCCCAAATACAGCATGAGCATGGGTGAAGGTTTAGAGCTGGAGGTGCCGGTCACCCAGCTCTCCATCCTTGCTGTGCCCTCTCATACTGTGAGGAACGTGCTCTGATCCAAACTGGTCATGGAAGATTAGCCTTACGCCATCATAGCTCTCTGGGTGGAGAACACTAGTGATCCTTTGTCTCACTGGCTCTGACTTGCTCTCACTCAGGGCTTCACTTGGCAGAGATGTGGGGCATTAAATGGCTCAGAGTTGATATTGGTAGTCGGGTGCACAGAATGGTGCTGGTGCTTTTCCACTAAGCTCACCTTGATGGTATTTTCATTGGTGAGGTTTCTCATAGCCTCCTCCCCTTACAAGGTTTTCATAATCAGTCTGATGATTCAAGTCGACTTGTGTTGAAAGCCAGGTGCAGAGGGTATGTGGTCCACCTCCCATGGCCTGCTGTCCTCAAACTCAGTTTAGTCTAAAGCTAGCATAATACCCAGCACCCTGAGGCTGGGCTGCTTTTTTTTTTTAATTTTTTTATTTTTATTTTATTTTTGAGACGGAGTTTCGCTCTTGTTACCCAGGCTGGAGTGCAATGGCGTGATCTCGGCCCACCGCAACCTCCGCCTCCTGGGTTCAGGCAATTCTCCTGCCTCAGCCTCCTGAGTAGCTGGGATTACAGGCACGCGCCGCCATGCCCAGCTAACTGGGCTGCTTTTTGGCAGCAGGAATTCTGCTCCCAGTAGCAGGATGTGTTTGATGAGATATCGCTGTACTGTTTTACCATAAACTAGCTTTCTGGATTGGTTTCAAACAATGTGATCAATTCCTTGTGATTTAGAAGTATAGGACAGTGTGTTACCAAATTGTTAAAATGTAATGATAGGCTGGGTGGCTCAGGCCTATAACCCCAGCACTTTGGGAGGCCAAGGTAAGAGGATTGCTTGAGCTGAGAAGTTCAAGACCAGCCTGGGCAACATAGCAAGATCCTGTCTCTGTAATTTTTTTTTTTTTTTTTTTTTTTTTTTTTTTGAGACGGAGTTTCCCTCTTGTTACCCAGGCTGGAGTGCAATGGCACGACCTCGGCTCACTGCAACCTCCGCCTCTTGGGTTCAGGCAATTCTCCTGCTTCAACCTCCCGAGTAGCTGGGATTACAGGCACGTGCCACCATGCCCAGCTAATTTTTTGTATTTTTAGTAGAGACGGGGTTTCACCATGTTGACCAGGATGGTCTCTATCTCTTGACCTCGTGATCCACCCACCTCGGCCTCCCAAAGTGCTGGGATTACAGGCTTGAGCCACTGCGCCTGGCTTTTTTTTTTTTTTTTTTTTTTTTTTTTGAGACGGAGTTTCGCTCTTGTTACCCAGGCTGGAGTGCAATGGCGCAATCTCGGCTCACCGCAACCTCCGCCTCCTGGGTTCAGGCAATTCTCCTGCCTCAGCCTCCTGAGTAGCTGGGATTACAGGCACGTGCCACCATGCCCAGCTAGTTTTTTGTGTTTTTTTTTTAGTAGAGACGGGGTTTCACCATGTTGACCAGGATGGTCTCAATCTCTTGACCTCGTGATCCACCCGCCTCGGCCTCCCAAAGTGCTGGGATTACAGGCTTGAGCCACCGCGCCCGGCTTTTTTTTTTTTTTTAAATAAAAATCTGACTTTAGGGAAAAAAAAATTTTTTTTAATTTGACACGGAGTCTCGCTCTGTCACCCTGGGTGGAGTACAGTGGTGTGATCTCGGCTCACTGCAACCTTTCCCTCCCTGTACAAGCGATTCTCCTGCCTCAGCCTCCTAAGTAGCTGGGACTACAGGAGCGTGCCACCATGCCTGGCAATGTATTTTTAGTAGAGACAGGGTTTCACTGTGGTATTCAGGCTGGTTTCAAACTCCTTACCTTGTAATCCGCTCGCCTCGAACTCCCAAAGTGCTGGGACTATAGGCGTGAGCCACTGCGTCCGGCCTAAAAAATTTTTTAAAATTAGTTGGCCAGGGCCGGGCGTGGTGGCTCAAGCCTGTAATCCCAGCACTTTGGGAGGCCGAGGCAGGTGGATCACAAGGTCAAGAGATCGAGACCATCCTGGTCAACATGGTGAAACCCCGTCTCTACTAAAAATACAAAAAATTAGCTGGGCATGGTGGCTCGTGCCTGTAATTCCAGCTACTCAGGAGGCTGAGGCAGGAGAATTGCCTGAACCCAGGAGGCGGAGGTTGCGGTGAGCCGAGATCACGCCATTGCACTCTAGCCTGGGTAACAAGAGCGAAACTCCTCAAAAAAAAAAAAAAAGAAATTAGTTGGCTGTGGTGGCCCATGACTGTAACAGTACCAGCTACTCAGGAGGTGGAGGTAAAAAGGATTCTTAAGCCTGGAAGGTCGAGGGTACCGTGTGATTACACCACTGCACTCCATCTAGCCTGGGTGGACGGAAAGACTTAAAAAAAAAAAAAAAAAAAAAAGGCAGGGTGCAGTGTCTCACACCTGTAGTCTCAGCACTTTGGGAGGCCAAGGTGAGCAGATCACAAGGTCAAGAGATTGAGGCCATCCTGGCCAACATGGTGAAACCCCGTCTCTACTAAAAATAGAAAAATTAGCCAGGCATTATGGCAGGCACCTGTGGTCCCAGCTACTGGAGAGGCTTAGGCAGAAGAATGGCTTGAATCCAGGAAGTGGAGATTGCAGTGAGCCGAGATTGCACCACTGTACTCCAGCCTGGTGACAGAGCAAGACTCCATCTCAAAACAAAAGTAAATAAAATGTAATGATAAACCATTTTTTCATGTGTTATCTTCTTCGTTAGGAAGTATTAAAAATGAATGTGTTCCCATTTCCTAACAATGTCTCTTCAGTTTTTAAATTACCGATACTGAGCTCATAAAGGTGCTTTGTTAAGTAGCATTCACACTCTGGTTTGTGTAACTTGCTCTTCCCCCATTTTTCTGTTTCGTTTATTTAGAAAACTGTTGCAGAAAAGCAGGAGAAGAGAAATCAGGATCGCTTGAGGAGGAGAGAGGAGAGGGAGCGAGAGGAGCGTCTGAGCAGGAGGTGAGCCTGGGCCTGGCACTGGATGGGCTGCCCCGGCCTCAGGCGTCCCCTGCTGCCCCCATTCCACTGTTGCTTGGAATAGTTTGGGCCTGCTCAATAGGCCATTATAAGAGAAAGAAGTAAGGCCAGGCCCGCTGGTTCATGCCTCTAATCCCAGCACTTTGGGAGGCCGAGGTGGGCAGATCACTTGAGATCAGGGATTGAGACCAGCATGTTGAAACCCTGTCTACTAAAAATACAAAAATTAACTGGATGTGGTGGCATGTGCCTGTAATCCCAGCTACTCTGGAGACTGAGGTGGGAGAATCACTTGAACCTAGGAGGCAGAGGTTGCAGTGTACTGAGATCGTGCCACTGTACTCCAGCCTGGGCAACAAAGCAAGACCCCATCTCAAAAAAACAACAACAACAAAAGAGAAGTAAACACGTAGCGTATTCAGTCCAACAAAACAAAACACAGCCCAGCCCAGGACTATGTGTGCATGGCAGCCAGGAAAGGGTCTGAGTTGTTGGAGGCTGTGTGTGGCACTGCTGATGATTTACTGGGTGCTCTGGGGCTGTTGGACGGCTCCTTAGGAGGGGTGGTGCCTGCCGGCCTGTGGAGAACAGTGCTGGTGCGGGAGTGGGAGCAGCAGTACCTTGGGGAGCTGGGCGGGAGAATCTAGATGGAGGAGGTGACAGTTTAAGCCAGGTAAGGGACTTAAGGAGTCTGGGAAAGTTCTGGGATAGAACTGATGGGATCTGCTGTTAGTGTGTGAGGTGTGCAGAGGAGGAAATGAAGCTGGTTCCTGGTTTCTGTCCTTGAGTTGCTTCTTGGTGAGTTTGGAAGGCTGGGCATGGTGTATTGGAGGAGGAAGGATGGAAGTAGCAGCTGCTTCTGGCCACACTCAGCTTGAGAGGCCATCTTGAGGTGGGGGTGTTGAGTCTGAGTGGAGTTGAAAGAAGAGGTGGGAGCCAGAATAACCTCTTGGACACAGCTTATTGTCCAGGAAGGTTCCCAAACTGCTTTTCCTGAAAGAACTACTCATTGTGTAACTCAGAGAGGGCGAATGATGTTTATTGTGTTTGTTATTTTAATTTATTGTGTTTGTTATTTTAATTATCCAGCAGGAGATTTTTGTAAGGAGATTTAAACAGTATAGAAAAAATATTATGCAAAACAGACTCCCATTTTTTGGCATGGAGTTGGACATTTTTACATGCATGATGTTTAGGTCATATATGTTTTGGGTGTACATGGGGCCACTTGACTTTAATGGCTGCACGTTAATTCTTAGCAGGGGCGTAGAATGCAGCCTTGTGGTTTAGCTTTTTCAGACTCTGATTGTGCGGCAGAGTGAGCTGATGGCTCTCCCCTGGCGGGAAGCCTGTGTCTAGAACTCAGGGCTTTGCTTTCACTTTCCTGTCTTTGGTGTGCCCCACCCAGCACCTGCAAGTTCTGTCCTGGTGTCAGTTGTCAAGGCTGGAGAAGCATTTGTAGGACTTGGGTGCGGCACAGTTAACTGTCAGTGTGCACAGATTTCCCACGGCCCTTGTAATGTGACGAGGCTGTGTCTTATGCTCAGATGCAGTCCCCTCTGTGACGCCCAGGTGCCACTGAGTGTGCCACAGAGTGGCGGTGGGGTTGGCCACATTGGCACTGCCCATTCAGACTGGAAACATGCAGGCAGCTTGAAAACAGCAGGTCTTTGGGGAAATGTCTCACTTCGTGGATTAGATTTGGAGCCGTCCCCGCAGATGGTGAGGAATAGGGGTGCTTTCAGGAAGTTGTTCATCTTTTTTTTTTTTTTTGAGATGGAGTTTCATTCTTGTTGCCAACGCTGGAGTGCAGTGGCACCATCTCGGCTCACTGCAACCTCCGCCTCCCGGGTTTAAGTGAGTCTCCTGCCTCAGTCTCCCGAGTAGCTGGGACTACAGGTGCCCACCACCTCGCCTTGCTAGTTTTTATATTTCTTAGTAGAGATAGCATTTCATCATGTTGGCCAGGCTGGTCTCAAACTCCTGACCTCAGGTGATCCGCCTGCCTCGGCCTCCGAAAGTGCTGGGATTACAGGTGTGAGCCACCCTGTGCTCAGCCCTGTTCACCTTTTTTTTCCCTTTTTAGGTCAGGATCAAGAACCAGAGATCGCAGAAGGTAGGTTTCCAGATCCATTAAAGTGCTCTCAGTCAAATATCTTTTTCCATCAGCCTTTTTCTTAATATTTAATGTTTATGCCTTTACTAATGTTGTCTGGCAGGAGGGCTGGTTTGTGGAGGGCACATGGCAAGGGGTTGCTTGGTACAACAGAAGGTTCCCACTGTTAATGAGAGAGAAGGTTGGGGCCTGCAGGGTGACAGGAGTATCCAGGCCAGATGTTTTCAGGAGGCCTCATTAGAAAGGGTCTAGCCATTGGAGATAACTGATAGAAATATGTTAAATTTGGGGAAATGGGGAAATGTCAGTAAAGCAGCAAGAGCGGAATCTGCTGAGGGGTGGGCCCCTGGTGGCGGTGGCACCTGTGGAGTCTCAGCCTCGAAACCTGATTTTTCAGGTCACGCTCCCGGGATCGGCGTCGGAGGCGGTCAAGATCTACCTCCCGAGAGCGACGGAAGTTGTCCCGGTCCCGGTCCCGAGATAGACACAGGCGCCACCGCAGCCGTTCCCGGAGCCACAGCCGGGGACATCGTCGGGCTTCCCGGGACCGGAGTGCGAAATACAAGTAACTACTCTGACTCCTTCGGTAGCTGCAACCAGGAGTGAGCCCTTCTCTGTGTTCCCAGGGTCTGCTGGGGGCCATGTCTGGTGGGGATGGGCCTGGGCTGGCACCCAGCAATAGGGCTAGGGAATCATAAACGGGACTCTGTGGTCTGGAAAGAGGCGAGAGGGCTGTGGAGGAGTTTTTGCAGCACCAGGTGATGCCGCAGGAGCTGCATGTGTGTTCCCAGCCTGCACCCTGGGGCCCTGTGCACTGCTGCGCCCATACAGAGTGGCTGAGCCTTAATGTCGTGACCAAGCCCTGCTTACCTCTGCTTTCATTTTTGTTTTTGGTATCTTTTTTCCTGTCTCTGTGTGTGTGTGTGTGTGTGTGTGTGTGTGTGTGTGTGTGTGAGCATAGTGTGTTCTCCTTTGCTCTGTTGCTCCGTTTATGTTGTGCGTGTGTGCGTGCGTTTATATGTGTGTGCGTGTATGCCTGTGTGTGTGCACGCATTTGTGTGCGTGTGTGTGTTTGAGCATAGTGTGTTCTCCTTTGCTCCGTTTGTTGTTTGCGTGTGTGTATGTGTGTGTGTGAGCATAGTGTTGTGTTCTCTTTTGCTCCGTTGCTCCGTTTATGTTGTAGTGAAGGCTCTCTGTATTCAAACTCTTTGCAAAGGTCACTTTTTAATGGCTACCTAACATTCCACATGTGGTGGGCAGGTCGGCCTCTGGGGGGCTTCCGGGTATAGGGGGTGCATGGCCTTCCCTGGCCTGGTCTGTGGGTCCACTGTCAGTGCCTGAGCAGCCAGCAGAAGGGGGGCAGCAGCCTCCACTGAGCCTCTGCTTCCCATTTCCCAGGTTCTCCAGAGAACGGGCATCCAGAGAGGCGTCCTGGGAGAGCGGGCGGAGTGAGCGGGGGCCCCCGGACTGGAGGCTCGAGAGCTCCAACGGGAAGATGGCTTCACGGAGGTCTGAAGAGAAGGAGGCCGGCGAGATCTGAACCTGTCTCCGGGTGCTGTAAATAGTCTGATAAACATTCACACCGTCTAAAATTACCCTTTATATTTGCTGAATATAACTCATCTTTTGTAGTTTAAAATTTCTATTGTTTTGGAGCTAGCTGTGAGTTTCTAGAATTGTACAGAGTTGCTCCTGTGTTTTGGGGTCATGTTGAGTAGGAATAAATAAATATGAAGACTGCCTCCTGAGGCTGTGCTGGGGTCTGTGCTGTCCTCTGCTTGGAGGCTCTTCACTGTGACCCTGTGCCAGTGCCATCAGTACCTCACAGGAACCATGACTTACTTGTGGACCACGTCTTGTCTTCTGGCATCCAGTAGATGCCAGGGCACTTCCTGTCCTTGGCACCTGACCAACGGGACCCAGATGTATGTGGCTCTTTGTTTGCTCGGTCCCACGTACCCTTCTGAGTGGCTGAGCTGTCCATCTCCGATGGGGAGGAGAGAGGGACCCCATTCTGTATTCATTTAGGAAAAGCTGTCTTGTGTGGTCAACTGTTGCTACATCCTTAACTTGGGACTCAGGTAAGTTACACCGGACTTCCTGTTTTGAAGTTACTTAGCACAAAAAAATACCCATGGGGCTGGGCATGGTGGCGCATGCCACTAGTCCCAGCTACTACTCAGAAGGCTGAGGCGGGAGGATTTTTGAGCCCAGGAGGCTGAAGGCTGAGGCTGAGGTGAACCTTGATTGTGCCACTGCACTCCAGCCTGGGTGACGGAGGAAGGCCCTGTCTCAAAAAAAAAAAAAAAAAAATGTGGTTTGACTCATGTTCCATGTGGGCCGATGATGTTACCCACCTCTCAGTTCTTTGCACTGCTCTACATCGGGCAGGAACTTTTTTTTTTTTTTTTTTTTTTTTGAGACGGAGTTTCGCTCTTGTTACCCAGGCTGGAGTGCAATGGCGCGATCTCGGCTCACTGCAACCTCCGCCTCCTGGGTTCAGGCAATTCTCCTGCTTCAGCCTCCTGAGTAGCTGGGATTACAGGCACGTGCCACCATGCCCAGCTAATTTTTTGTATTTTTAGTAGAGATGGGGTTTCACCATGTGGACCAGGATGGTCTCGATCTCTCGACCTCGTGATCCACCCGCCTCGGCCTCCCAAAGTGCTGGGATTACAGGCTTGAGCCACCGCGCCCGGCAGCGGGCAGGAACTTTTAAGACCAAAATGAAGGGCTAGGCATGGCAGCTCACGCTGGTAATCCCACCCCTTTGGAGGGCAAAACGGCTGGATCACTCTAGGTCAGGAGTTGGAAACCAGCCTGGCCAACATGGTGAAACCTCGTCTCTACTGAGAATTAATTATCCTGGCGTGGTGGTACACATCTGTAATCACAGCTACTAGGGAGGCTGAGACAGGAGAATCGCTTGAACCCGGGAGGCAGGGGTTGCAGTGAGATAAGATCGCATCCAGCCCAGGCAACAGAGCAAGACTCTGCCTCAAAAAAAAAAAACAAAAACCAACAACAAAAATGAAGCCCTTCTGCAAAGGATACGTGCTCACTAATGTGTAGATAATGGGAGCTCCTTCTCTTTTTCACTATTTGGGAGGTTTTTGGAATTCCTGAGAGTCACATTGTTAACACAGTCATCCTCATCCACTTTGTCTCTGCAGAAGTGCAGGCGCCACCCTTGAGCACACACAAGCACCATGGTCTGGGCCTTTTCTTTTTTTTTTTTTTTTTTTTTTTTTTTGAGACGGAGTTTCGCTCTTGTTACCCAGGCTAGAGTGCAATGGCGCGATCTCGGCTCACCGCAACCTCCGCCTCCTGGGTTCAGGCAATTCTCCCGCCTCAGCCTCCCCAGTAGCTAGGATTACAGGCACGTGCCACCATGCCCAACTAATTTTTTGTATTTTTAGTAGAGACGGGGTTTCACCATGTTGACCAGGATGGTCTCGATCTCTCGACCTCGTGATCTACCCGCCTCGGCCTCCCAAAATGCTGGGATTACAGGCTTGAGCCACCGCGCCCGGCCCCAAGTCTGGGCCTTTTCATGATGTAGCTGGTGGCCCTGCCCTGGGCTCTCCTGCCACAGGCTATCCCTTCCAGAGGACAACGGGTAGGTGGGCTGCTCTGCCAGCCTGTGACACGGGTCTTGCCCAGTCAACCGTCTCCAAGGAAAGGAGGGTGGAAGGGGCTGCCCTGTGCAGGAGTCACTGGGATTAGTGCCATGCTTTGCAGGCTTATCCTGCACATGGGACTGAGGGTACTTGTTCAGCCTGTGTGCTTCCCTCCTAGTCTTGGAGGGAGTGACTGGGTTTGGGCTCCCTATTCCCAAGCCTACATTGTGGTCATGGCTGTGGCTGCCTGGGTAATGAGTGTTTGCATCCCAGGTTTTCCTGGGGCTTAAGCAGACAGCCCCACCCTCAGGCCTAGCACCACTGTGAATTGTTTGGGTCCTTTTCTATGTAGACATTTGTGTGTGTAGACAGTTGTTTTTTGCTTTGCTTTTCTTGTCAGGGAGTGGGGTTTACAAAAAAGGTGCTGTGCCTCTGGCCTTCAGTACTCACATCCTGTGCCCTGTATCTGCTGATTACAGTTGAAGGACAGGCCCCCTGGGATGCAGCATCAGTGTCCTGGGCCTTCCCTGGTAGCCTCATGGTGGTGCAGCCATCCAGGGCACCCTCTGTGCAGGGAGAGATGCTCCTGCCTCCGTGCTGTGCAGGGACAGTGAGGTGGACTCTATACACGTGCCAGGTGGCGCTGACCAAACTGAGCTTTATACCCCTTTCTGCTCATAACCACCCACGACAGCTCTTCCTCCCTCCCTTTCTGCTGTCAGAGTCGCTGTAGGGGACCCACGTTTCACTCTCCATCCGATACAGCAAGTCCTTCCTCTCCACAGCAGTACCAGTACATCTCGCTGAAGATGGCTAGCGGGAGGTGTGTGGGTCTGAAAGTGCATCCCTCCCATGTGAAGGAGTCTGTGGTGTCAAGTGGAGCAGGCCCTTGCTCCACCCACGGAGCTCCATCTTAGCCTGCAGCCCAGGCTTGATGAGAACAGAAGAGTAGGGGCCTCTCCAGAACATTTGGTGATTTAAAATTATTTATTTTTTTGAGACATTCTTGCTTTGTCATCCATGCTGGAGTGCAGTGGCACCATCAGGGCTCCCTGCAGACTCCTGGGCTCATGTTTCTGCCGCTCAGCCGCCGAGGTGGCTGGGACTTTGGCGCACACTACCACATTTGGCTAAGTTTTTATTTTTTTGTAGACAGATCTCACTGTGTGGGTCTTGCTATGTTGCCCAGGCTGGACTGCAGTGGCTGTTCACAGGTGCAGTCCCACTACTGATCAGCCGAAGAGTTTTTACCTTTGTTTCCACCCTGGGCTGTACACCCCTCCTTAAGCAACTTTGTGGTCTCCCATTCCCGAGATGTCACCATATTGATGCCAGACTTAGTGTGGACACCTGATCGGCAGAGCACACTGCAGTCCAGAACTCCTGGGCTCAAGCGATCCTCCCACCTCAGCCTCCCAAGTAGCTGGGACTACAGGCCTGTGCCACCATGCCCAGTGCTCAGGCTATTCTTGAGAACTCCTGGGCTCAGCTGATCCTCCCACCTTGGCCTCCCAAAGCACTAGGATTACAGGTGTGAATCACTGTGGCTGGCAGTGGTTTTTTTTTTTTTCTTAAAAAGATAAATATCTCTGCTTGGTAGGTGCTATCAATGCCAAACTAGCTGGACAGGGGTGGTGCATGGTGCCACCTTTGCCTCCTGCACGGGGTCCCCTTGGGTTTGGGGAGCATATGGGCCTTGGCTGAAGCCCTGAGTAGGTTAAGGGTAGTCCTGTGGGGAGGAGAGGAAGACGCGGACAAGGGCCGAGGCCATTTCCCACCCCAGGTGTGACAGGCAGGTGCTGGGCTGACGCAGGCTGAGGACCCCCATCTTGGGCAGCATCTTTTGGGGGAGGTGTGGCAGCCTGGAGCCAGGGCTGTAGAAGGGCCTCCTGTTTATTCCCTCATCTGGAGGGGTGGGGTGTTTTTATATATATATAATTTGTTTTCTTTGAGACAGCCTCACTCTGTCCCCTAGGTTGGAGTGCAGTGGTGCGATCTCGGCTCACTGCAACCTCCGCCTCCTGGGTTCAAGCAGTTCCCTGCCTCAGCCTCCTGAGTAGCTGGAATTATAGCGCCTGCCACCATGCCCAGCTGGTTTTTGTACTTTTAGTAGAGACAGGGTTTCACACTCTTGGCAAGGCTGGTCTTGAACTCCTGACCTCGTGATCCACCCCCCTCAACGTCCCGAAGTGCTGGGATTACAGGCGTCAACCACCGCACCTGGCCTAAAATGTTGTTGTTGTTGTTGTTTTTGGTTTTTTTTTTGAGACGGAGTTTCGCTCTAGTTACCCAGGCTGGAGTGCAATGGCGCGATCTCGGCTCACTGCAACCTCCGCCTCCTGGGTTCAGGCAATTCTCCTGCCTCAGCCTCCTGAGTAGCTGGGATTACAGGCACGTGCCACCATGCCCAGCTAATTTTTTGTATTTTTAGTAGAGACGGGGTTTCACCTTGTTGACCAGGATGGTCTCGATCTCTCGACCTCGTGATCCACCCGCCTCGGCCTCCCAAAGTGCTGGGATTACAGGCTTGAGCCACCGCGCCCGGCCTCTAAAATGTTGTGTTTTTTTTTGTTGTTGTTTTGTTTTGTTTTTTTTTTTTTTTGAGACGGAATTTCGCTCTTGTTACCCAGGCTGGAGTGCAATGGCGCGATCTCGGCTCTCCGCAACCTCCGCCTCCTGGGTTCAGGCAATTCTCCTGCCTCAGCCTCCTGAGTAGCTGGGATTACAGGCACGTGCCACCATGCCCAGCTAATTTTTTGTATTTTTAATAGAGACGGGGTTTCACCATGTTGACCAGGATGGTCTCGATCTCTCGACCTCGTGATCCACCCGCCTCGGCCTCCCAAAGTGCTGGGATTACAGGCTTGAGCCACCGCGCCCGGCCTTAAAATGTTTTAATTATAATAAAATGCATATAAAACTTAACTGTTGCAACAGTTTTTCAGTGTACAGTTTAGTGGCATGAAGTACACCCACATAGTTGTGCAGCCTTCACCACCTGTGCAGGGGTGGTTTTGAAAAGGCAGAGTGGGTCAGCTGTGGTGGTTCACACCTCTAATCCCAGGAATTTGGGAGGCCAAGACGGGTGGATCACCTGATGTCAGGAGTTTGAGACCAACCTGACCAACATGATGA